GGATTCTTGCTCATGACAGTGTTGAATCCTCATCAAAGCCTCTCTCTTTCAGTGGAAGTGACACAATCCCATTTTGTGTAACTCCCAGGTTTCACATCCTGAATGTGATAGAAATAGTTAGAAATGAAGTGAACCACACTTATATTGATGCCCCTGTCAGTTTCCTTCCTTGAATATGTCTGTTTGTAGTGTTGAAGTATGGTAGATATAATCTTTAACTTTTTAAGCAAAGCAGAGGCCAGAATTCTCACCTTGTGCTGTCTAGGGTTGTACAGGCATGTAATTTTTTTTTTTTTTTTTTTTTTTTAGGAAGCAGGTGCTGTTTGGATCTAGGTTAGTGACACATAAATAACTTTGCATCTATAACTCACTACTCCTTCCAGAATTCCATTCTGATCATTACTTCCTTAGATCTTCCCTTTTAGCTTAAGGAGATGGCAATGTGACACAGATGTATGGGTTCTTAAATGATGCAGTTTTACTTGAGTGTGCTCTTCAGATGTTTCCAGTAATGTCCTCATCACATGTTGCTGCTGCTGAGGACCTTTCTGTTTCCTCAGCCTGTCAAGCAGTAGTTCAGTGGCTGAATACCAACCATTTTCTCTTGTGAAATAGGCTCTTGGGTTCTGTTTGAAATTTCTAAAGACTCAAATAAGTCAGAAAATGTTTAAAGGATGTGTCTCTTATGCATATCACTTTGTTAGTATGCCCATCTGTCATCTTCTAAGTGGTCTTCTTGAGTCATTTTTTCCCAGCTGTTGAAGTGTGGTATAGGAGAGAGTCTTCTCTTTCATCTCTGGCACTGGCAAAATTCCATCTTGATGACCTCAGCGGGTCGTCCAAATGGATGATGAATTACTGCTGACCTTTAAGAATAAGTTGTGGATCACTAAAGCGTGTAGGAGCCTGATGACCCATCACACAGAGGCTTTCAGAGATCCATTTGTACCACTGTCTGCTGCTGTGTTGATTTCCTTCCATAGTGGATGATTACTCTGGCTATGACCTTTTTCTTTTGACTCTGTTGGAGAGTAAGTTAGTATGAAAATGTTTTTCAAAATGTTTTTTTTCACATATGTGCGGCTGATAGGCAATATAAAGGCTCTGCAAAGGGGTGTCTCCCTTCGAGGCAGTACAGATATAGTGATGAGAGAGTTGGGGCTTTGAAGCCAGTCAACGTGGATTATAATCTCAGCTCTTTTCCTTCCTAACTGAGTTACTTTGGGCAAGTTACTTGATACCTCAGTGCCTCCATTTCTCTTCTATAAATTAGGCATAATGCAATCACTTTGAGCTTGTCCTAAGATAATGTGTAAAATGTTTAGTGCTTGGCACAGAATAAAAATTCAATTAGTGGGTTAAAGCCTCTGCCTTCAGCTCAGGTCGTGATCCTGGTGTCCTGGGATCAAGCCCCGCATCAGGCTCTCTGCTCTGCAGGGAGCCTGCTTTCTCCTCTCTCCCTCTGCCTGCCTCTCTGTCTACTTGTGATCTCTGTCTGTCAAATAAATAAATAAAATCTTTAAAAAAAATTCAATTAGAATAGTTACTACTACTACTGCTATTATTTAAAAAGTTTTGAAAAGCATAAAATCAAAAAAGCAAGTATGATTCATGATGGCAAACGCCCTAATGGAAGTTATCATCTGTCATCACAGAGAAGGGACCCATTGATGCCCACTGACTGTGGGCGTTAATGAGAGCTTCATAAAAAATCTTAATAGATGAGAAGGAGTTTTCATGGTAGAGATGGGGAGAGGTTTCCTAGGGAAAGGCGTAAGGCTGGGAAACAAACAAGCTGAGACAGTGTTGGCACCTTACTCTTTCTGGGGGTAAGGCTGGTAAGGTTTTGTTTGTTTAAACAAGGGAGTGCCCTGTGCAAATCAGTTCCAGTAGCAATATAGATGTCTTGTTTGAAGACAGAATAGTGGAAAGCATTGAAGAAGACAAAGGCAGTGACCTGTGAGCATGTTAACTCAGGAGCTGAGGTATGAGATGGTGGGCCTGACCTTTGCAGGGGGATGGAGGAGAGAAGAGAAGCTGACTTGGATAGGAAGCACAAAATTGCATGAAGAGTATGGGCATATGGAATTTGGATCCTCGCCCTCCCCACTTCACCGCACTTTCCTACCTGTATGTCCTTCTGTGGACTTCTTACCTCTCTGAACCTCAGTCTCTTCCTCTGTAAAACCGGAACTGTCACTTATTAGGGCTTTTAAGAGGAGTAAATTCAGGTGCATGCCCTGCTGCAGTGCCTCGTCCTGGTCAATGCTCTGTAGCTATCACCTTCATCTCATTCCAGAGGCCCATTTAAGGTTTAGCTTCTAGCAATTACTGATTTACTGAATGTGAAAAATAGAAAAACTGAAGATGACTTTGAGGTTTTGACCTCGGATATGGTTGGTACTATTAAGTTAACTAGGACATACTGGGAAATGGGCAGAATTTGGGGAAAAGAAATGTTTAGTTTGGGGTTTGCCAAACTTGAGTTGTCTGTGAGAAATCCAAGTCTTGGCTTTAAAACATACAGATGACCTTTGAACAATGTGGGCGATAGGGGTGCCGACCCCCACATAGTCAAATCCATGTACAATTTTTGATTCCTCAAAACTTAACTAATTAAAGCCTATTCTTGGCCAGAAGCCTTACTGATAACATCAACAGTCAATTAACACATAGCATTAACACATAGTCGATTAACACGAACAACTAGGTTATATGTATTATAGAGTGTATTCTTAAAATAAAGTAAGCTAGAGAAAAGAATATATTATTAAGAAAACCTTAAGGAAAATACATTTATAGTACTGTACCTTATTGGAAAAAGCTCCATGTAGGTGTGGACTCATGCAGTTCAAACCTGTGTTGTTCAAGGGTCAACTGTTTGTTTGGAGGTTAGCTCTCTAGAAATATAGTCCTACAGTTCACTGGCATATAAATAGAAATTAATGTAGAAAATGAATAATTTTGCTTTTGAGAAAACTTACAGACCAAGGAGAGGGCCGAGCATGGATTCTTTCAAAAACCAATAGCGGAAAGCATTGTGGAGGAAGAGTAGAGGGAGTGATTAGAGGAAGCCATTTGGGTATTCTAGACCCACGTTTCTCAATGCGAAGCCCCCAGATCACCTATACGAGGGTCTGATTCTCCTTTGGGCATTGAAGTCTCAGTGCATGGGATCCATAAGCTTTCCCTGGGCCAATGGAAATAGATGTGACCTGGAAAGAGATGAACATTCTGAGAGTACAGAATTATAAAAAGCCTTTCAAATAATTAAAAGCCAGAAATTATTTAATATGGGATGAGGGTACATTTAAATATATTTGAAATGGTTTAGAAGTGGGCCCTCCAAAAGTAAGAGTGCCGGTGGCCTGAAGCCATCAAGTAGTACCAAACTTGAATCAGACCTGCCTGAGCACTAGTCAAACCTGGGGACTCCTGGTCACCCTCATCCTCTCTTCTCCTCTCCAGCAGCTGGACCCCAGGCATCCTCAGTTTAGTTTCGTTTAGTTTTGTTTAAGATTTTATTTATTTATTTGTCAGAGGGAGAGAGAGAAACCGGGAAGCAGCCGGCAGAGGGAGAGGCAGGCTCCTCGCTGAGCAAGGACCCCGATAAGGGATTCGATCCCAGGACCCCGAGATCATGACCTGAGCTGAAGGCAGACACTTAACTGACTGAGCCACCCAAGTGTCCCTTCATCTTCAGTTTTTAATAAGCCCTCAAGGTGGGGAAAGTTTGAAAATCTCGGGTCAGGCATTGTCTAACGTATGATACTGAGAATGCGTACTAAGGCGGTGGGGGGTTTTAAAGAGCACCTTCTCTGAGACTTCCTCCCTACTCCATACTCATCTCCTGGAATTTTAGCATTTTCATGTAGTGCTAACTTAGCACTTTACCATCTAGTTATTATCAGTCGAAAGCTTATCTCTCTCTTTTTTAAAGATTTTATTTATTTATTTATTTGAGAGAGAGAGAGAGACAGAGACAGAGAGAGCGTGTGCATGCATGTGCACTAAGGGAGAAGGAGAAGCAAACTCCCTGCTGAGCAGAGAGCCTGACCTGGGGCTCCACCCAGGCGCCCCCGAAAGCTTGCTAGATCTTAATTCCCAAATCCAACAAGTTTGGAAAACGGAAAGCTATGTAATAATCTTGGCTCAAAACTATGATGTGGTTGATGTGAACTGTTGTCATCTAATGTGACTCTTCATACATTCTGCTGCAGAAATATTACTCTGTCTGGTCATAGGGAAGTTAGAGTGGAAAGTGAAGAGACCTCCCCCACTTCTGCTTTTTGGAAATACCAAGGTCCTCTAGTATTGTGCTTCTCCAGCTGGCAGTGGTGACCCCTGAGTGTGTGTGCGGGAGTAGGAGAGTTACAGTGTGCGCATGCCTGATTGCCAGGAGGGTCACATTTATTTGATGATTTGAGGGGGAGAATGAAATATTAAAATATGTATATACAGTAAAATGCAAATTTTCCATACATTTAAAAGATAAAAGATGAGATGTAAAAAAATTCAGGCTAGGTGGGCAGAAATTTGTTCATTCTCCTCAGCGGGGGCGGGAGGTGCTCAAGTGCAGCTCTCATTCAGAGCTCGGATAGTTGGCCTTGTGTTTCTGACCTGCTGGACTCAGGTTTTACATGTGTGAAGTTCTCCAGGACCACACAGGAGGACAAAAATTTCTGTGACTCTGATTATGTCTATGAAGGCATAGCACTCGTGCTGCCATCAGACTGACTTGAACAAGAAAGGGAGATACCCAGAGATAAAGGTCAGAAAGGCCTAAGAGAAAGAATTTACTTAGAAAATCATTTGTGTTGTCAGGAGGTGAAACTTAGCAATATAGGCCGAATCAGGGTGATTTTCAGTTAGGTCTTTAGGTAGCCTGTATACCTCCCATCGTTTTTTGCTTGTTTGTTTTGGTTATGCCTTATTACAAAATTTTTTTTTTCCCTCACCATATGTTGTGCTATTTTGCTGTGTTCTGTTTTGTTTTCTAGTAGGCAGCAAATAATGGCAGCAGCTCCGGGGGATCCTGGGCTGTCCAAATTGCAGTTCGCCCCCTTTAGCAGTGCCTTGGACGTTGGATTCTGGCATGAGTTGACCCAGAGGAAACTGAATGAGTACCGGCTGGATGAAGCTCCCAAGGACATTAAGGGTTATTACTACAATGGTGGGTGACAGTAACTCAGTATCCCGTCATCTTCTGTTATGCTCTCTGCCCTCCAGTATAGGGTCAGCTTTCCCACCTTTGTCTTTTATAATTCATGTTCTTCACTGGTTTCTATTTTACTTCCTGACTGTGTTTAATTAATTAATTAATTATTATTTGGGTGTCATTTACACATAGTGCTACATTAGTTTTAGATTTACAACATAGTAATTTGACAAGTTTATACATTATGCTCTGCTCACGACAGGCGTAGCTGCCCTCTGTCACCATACAGTGCTATTACAGTAACATTGATTATATTCCATGTGCCATACCTTTTATCCCCTTTTACTTCCTGGCTTTTGACAAAAACTCATTTTCACTTCTTTTCCTCTGTTGTGGGGAAAAGAAAGAGAGTAGTGAGACTCCCATTATTAACCCAAAAAATTAATATTGACTACTTAAAATTGCTGAGGGAGGAGATTGAAAATTTTTTTCTCAATGAATCTTTTTTTATAGTCTGGACAAATTCCTCCAATTTAGAAAAGCTCTGGCATCTTCTGCTAAGTCCCTGTTGAATATGGATGACCAGGAATTGGACAGGGCACTTAGGGCTCAAGAAAGAGAACAAAATTATTCACAAACATTTTAGTTATGAATGCTGCTATTACTGACTCATAATGGAAAATGTGATAATGCTTCTGTCCAGGTGATTCTGCTGGGCTGCCAGCTCGCTTAACATTGGAGTTCAGTGCTTTTGACATGTGAGTATTTTGTTTTCTTTTCTTTTCTTTTCTTTTTTTTTTCTGGCTTAAAATCCAAAGTGTTTGCTTTCTGTGAGGAATGAACATTCTTGACTTTAAACTTAGGTGAGCCACAGGGGGATCTTGGGGAGCCCCCAGAAGCAGGGCCAGCTCTTCAGTTCTCTTGTATCCCCCAAAGACAAGTGCTAGATGCACAGAGACAAGTGCTAGATGCTTAGGACTATTGGATATACCTTTTTGCAGCAGGTAATTATCAGAGCCTATTAGGAGTCAAATATCATCTAGATTGGTTGAGGTGTAGATAATAGCCCTCTGCTTTTGATTTTATTTAATATTTTGTGATTCCTTATTGATACTTCTTGACTTACTCCTTCAGTTGCTTATCCATGGACATCAATGAACATTTATTAGGCTACTTCTACATACAAGCTGCTGTGTAAGGCATTATACAAAGAAACACGACATACACCCTCAAAGAGGTTTTTTGATTTGTTTTTTTCTTCCTTGGTTGGGAGCCATAGGTACTGCTGGAGAGAAGAGAGACATTTATTGACTTAATTATGCAGGTGTTTTCATATACATAATCCTTTCAGACCTGCCAGATGTGATTTTTCTCTTTTTTTCAGATGAGGAAACCATGGGTCAGAAGGTAAAATGGCTTGCCCAAGGTGGCTAAATTTAGAAGCACAGTGAAATAGATTTCTGAGGTTGTAGTCTGAGTAGCCAGGGGCATTTTGTTATATTCTACAGAAACAGAAAGACCAGGAGGGGGATACGATTTTAGGAGGAGGTATACTTGGTTTAAAACATGTTGAGTTTGAGATGACATCATCTGGTGGAAATGCCCAGGAGGCCCTGGAGTCAAGGAGAGGGTCATCCATGCAGAGGAGATCGTGAGGCTCTAAGAGAGGAAGACTATCACGTAAGAAGAACAGAGGGCCAGACTGGTGAGTGGATCTGATCGGGGAGTGCAAGAAGGAAGATACAGAACTATCAAAGGAGATAAGAATTCTCAGAGAGGAAGAAGAACCAGAACAGCGCTACAGAAACCATAGATGGATGCTTTCAGGAAGGAAAGAGTTGATCAACAGTGTCAGAAGCAGAAAGGTCAGCATTCAATGCAAGGGTCATTGGATTTGTTGATTAGGCTGTTTGCAGTCTCAAACTGAATTCCACACAGAAAAGTGGAGCTGAAACCATATTGAGGGGCTCTGAGATGATTAATACTTGAAGAATTGAAGGCTTCAGTGTAGTCAATGCTTCCACATTATACAGTGTTGTATTAGTTTCAGAGGTACAATATAGTCATTCAACAATGTCACACATCACCTAGTGCTCTCATCATGACAAGTGTCCTCCCTAATCCCCAACACCCATTTAACCCATCCCTTCATCCCCTTCCCCTCTGGCAACCATCTGTTAAAGATAAAAAACAGAAGAGTCTGTTTCTGGATTTCTCTTTCTCTTTTTTATCCCCTTTGCTTGTTTATTTTGTGTCTTTAAATTCTTGTTTAATTTCTTAAATGCATGAAATCATATGGTATTTGTCTTTCTCTTATTTCTCTTATTTCACTAGGTATTATACTCTCTAGCTCCATCCATGTCATTGCAAATGGCAAGATTTCATTCTTTTTTTATGGCTGAATAACATTCCATTGTATATATGTATATCCCATCTTTTTTATCCATTCATCAGTCGGTGGAAATTTGGGCTGCTTCCATAATTTGGCTATTATAAATAATGCTGCTGTAAATATTAGGGGTGCATGTATCCCTTTGAATTAGTGTTTTTGTATTCTTTGGGTAAATACCCGGTAGTGCAATTACTGAATCATACAGTAATTCTATTTTTAATTTTTTGAGGCGCCTCCATACTCCTTTCCACAGCAACTGCACCAGTTGGCATTCTCATCAGCAGTGCATGAGGGTTCTTTTTCTACACATCCTTGCCAACGCCTGTTGTTTCTTGTGTTGTTGAGTTTAGCCATAGAATATATTTTTAAAATCTCTCAAAAAGTCAACACATTTGATTCTTCTATCTCAAATTCCAAGATTTAATGTTGTAACATAAATCTAAAATGGTATTAGTCCTTTTCCCTATACCAGGTAAATCAGGGATCTGATATGCTGAAATAAATAACATGTCACACTCTGAGGGCAAGAAAGGCTTAGGAAAAATAAACAAAACATGGTCCTATTAAAAAATATGTTAGTCTTTTTATCTTTAAAAGGTATGTGTTGGTGTTTCTTGTTCTCTTCAGACCTTTCTTGCTCTGTAATAAATTCCTTGTGATTGCTTGTCAAAACAAATCAAATCCTGGTAATCTCTCTCTTGTTTTGGTAGAGATTAACTTACCTCTAAAACAATTACAAGATAATAAGGAAAATAACTGACAGTGTATAAGCATTAAATTATCTGGAGATGTTCAGGGGGGCATATGAGCAGTGTAGTTTTAATATGATCTCAAGACTATAACATTAATTAAAAGCTAAACTTTCTCCCATCTTTACTCTGGACTAGACTGAAGGGTTATGTTCTGTTTTTGGTTTTTTTTTTTTTTTAAGATTTTAATAATTATATTCTTAGGAACAATTAGTTACAGGAAAAAAGTAGTTCATAGAAGTTAGGTTTTGATCTTACTACAAAATCCAAACATCTTAAACTCAAGTGATCCAGAAATTTTAGTTGACGGAGGTAAGAATATCTGTGATCACGCAGCTATGACTTTCACAGAAATTGCTTGATCTGACTGGTCATATCTTTTCATTGCGCTGTTGAATACCCACAGTGTTGGAGGCTATGTCGTTGAGGAGATGAGCAGGAATGAGGTGCAGCCCTAGTGGCAGTGCTGGATCCTGCAAGCCTCTTATTTAAGGCGGGTTAACCCTGTTACCTAGGTTAAGTGCTTTTAATTTCCTCACATTCAGTTTCCTCATCTTTGGCGCTTGGCTTCTGATGTTCTTTCCAGTTTTACAAGTCTGTGATTTTCTGAATCTGTCTTAGGACGATTGGTGTTTTGGTCTGAGTGTTTGTGTCCCTGCTTTTCCTATGTTGAAAACCTGATGCCCCTGGTGATGGTGTCAGGAGGGGGCGCTTCTGGGAGGGGGTTAGGTCATGAGGCAGAAGCCTCATGAGCTGGATCAGTGCCTTATAATAGACCCCCAGAGAACTAACACGCCCTTTCCACCACTTGAGGATGTGGAGCTAAATGGGCAGTCTGTGACTGGAAGAGGGCCTTCACCAGAACCGGACCATGCCAGCATCTTGATCTTGGGTTTCCAGCCTCCAGAACTATGAGAAAGAAATTTCTGTTGTTCATCAGCTACCCAGTCTGTGATATTTTCTTATAGCAACCCAAACAGACTAAGACAGCTAGGGAGTTTAATGGAAGTACTTGGAGTACCACAGAAGAAAGGAGTTCTTCATATGCAAATTATTTTCATTATTATTCTTTCTTTGTTTTTATTGCCTTACACCTGCATGGGTTTGTAGGGGAAATCTTTATAAATTTACTCATCAGATGCTGAATTCCTCTTACATGCAGGATGGGTAGGTGGTAGGAATACAGAGACTTAAGAAACACGGAGTGCTGGATAGAGGTAGAAGATACATGTTTGCATTTTAGTGTGCTCTGTGCTGTAATAAATGTGAAAAGGTAATGGTTATTTCAGAAATACTTATTGATTGCTTCCTCTGTGTCTTGACAATAGAATGTGCTAGGCACTGGGCATGGAGAGAGGAATAAGGTACAGCTGAAGAGCTAACAGTCCTAATACTCATTTTTAGATGCCAAGAGTATCTCAGCTTTGCATAGCACCAGATAAATCCCTTATTCTCTGAGTCCCTGGAAGCCTAGTGGGTCTCTGCCAGTGTTTAGCACCATAAGAATCCTGTTCTCCACATTTTATGAGGTGAATTAGCAGTCAAGTAGTATTTTGTCAGGCATCAATCATTTTGCACTGGAGAGAGCTGTCTTAGTGTAGGGTATACTGCTAAACCAGACTCCAAAACGTAATGGCCCAAACACAAAAGAGGTTTATTTCTTGCCCACCTAATAGTCTGGGACTGGGGTTCAGTTTTCTTCCCTCTATGGCTCCATCATTCTAGAGAGCTTGTATTTGTGTGTTGCTTAAAACGGAATTGTAGGGGGCACTTGGCTGACAGTTGGTGGAGCATGTGACTCTTTTTTTTTTTTTTTTAGATTTTATTTATTTATTTGACAGAGAGAGATCACAAGTAGGCAGAGAGGCAGGCAGAGAGAGAGGAAGGGAAGCAGGCTCCCTGCTGAGCAGAGAGCCCGATGCGGGACTCGATCCCAGGACCCTGAGATCATGACCTGAGCCGAAGGCAGAGGCTTAACCCACTGAGCCACCCAGGCGCCCCGAGCATGTGACTCTTAAACTGAGGGTTGTTGAGTTCAAGTCCCATGTTGGGCATGGGACCTGCTTAAAATAAAAGTATCTTAAATTCCACATAGGAGTGAAATTTTATGGTATTTAAACAAAACAGATAAACATAGGGAAAAGGAAGGACAATAAAATAACAGAGAAGGAGACAAACCACAAGAAACTCTTAACTAGAGGAAATAAACTGAGGATTGCTGGAGGGGAGGTAGTTGGGGGGGGTAGGGTAACTGGGTGATGGGCATTAAGGAGGGCACATGTTGTGATTTGCACTGGGTCTTATATGCAAGTGAGGAATCACTAAATTCTACCCCTGAAACTAATACTATACTATACGTTAACTAACTTGTTTTAAATAAAATCTTGAAAGAAAGACCAAACAAAAAGTTAAAAAACAATAGCAACAACCCAACAACCTGAATTGTCACTTTGCCTTGCCAGGCAAGGACATGCATTACTTTGCTCAGGTTCCACTGGGGAGAGCATGAGTCTGGGAAGCGTGGTGCCCCACTACAAGCAGCATATATGTACTCTATTTCTGTTTAAGAATGGAATAGTAGATTTTGGTGGACAATCTCTGCATAATTGTGAAATTACCTCATTAAAGCATTAGTTTTCCTTTCTCTGGGCTTCTTTCCCTTAAGGAACATTTATCTTTGCAATCAGAAGAAATATTTTCTTTACTAAGCTTCAAGTTGGACTTAATTAGAGAAATAGAAAGCATAACACTTGCCCTCAAAAAAACTTTAAAAAATAGTTAAGGAAATTAGACTCATAGGCAAAATCATCAGCACAGAACCCAGGCTCTCTTAATCTCTGCTATCTCATTAGCCCCTAACACAGATCTGACATGTACTAGTTACTCAGATAACTGTTGAAATCAATTATAGGCAGTCTAAATGCATGGCTTTCAAAGTGGGATGTGGTGTGATTGGTGGAAAGACAGCAGTGGAATCTGTTAGAGATGTTGCAAAACAGACACTCACAGATAACTACAGAAAGCATGGTGCATGCCCCCAGACTAAGTATAACTTCTAGGTTCCCAAAGTTCCTCATAGGCCTGCAGAGCTGTGCAGTTAGAACAGAGATTCCTCCAAATAATGAAAAATCACCTCTATCTGTCTTCTGGCAATTTATTCTGTCCTGGCCACCACCCTGCCTGTCTCTCCTGCCTTTGGCCAGGTGTGAATAACAGGTGCAAACCAGCTTCAGAACTTCCCTCACTCAGGGCTGGGAGACTGAGTGAAGTGCAGGCTGAGTTCCTAGAGATAGCATCCCCAAGCCGCTCCAGGCTTGAGGCCTTTCTAAGATCAGTCCTTTACCTGGTTAGTCTACGTCATTGGGCGTTCACAATTGGCTTTACTATCTGGGAAAGATTTCTAATTCTGATCTTTTAACAGTGTCATTGAGATATAATTTACATATCATAAAATTCACCCTTTTAAAATGTATAAGGCATGGGGCGCCTGGGTGGCTCAGTGGGTTAAAGCCTCTGCCTTCGGCTCAGGTCATGATCCCAGGGTCCTGGGATCGAGCCCCGCATCGGGCTCTCTGCTCTGCGGGGAGCCTGCTTCCTCCTCTCTCTCTGACTGCTTCTCTGCCTACTTGTGATCTCCGTCTGTCAAATAAATAAATAAAATCTTTAAAAAAATAATAAAAAAAATAAAATGTATAAGGCAGCAGATTTTACACTTGTGTATTCACAAGGTTGTGCAGCTGCCACCACCGATTCTTGAACACTTTCATCACTCCAGAAAGCAAGTCTATACCCATAAGCAGTTACTCTACATTCTTCCCTTCTCCCACTCCCCAGGCCCGGTAACCATGGTCTACTTTCTGTCTATGGATTTAGTATCCTGGGCATTTCATATAAATGGAATTTTAGGAAACTAAACTAATATGTGTCTAGGACCAGGATGTGGACTAAATTCTCTTGTTTCTAAGTCCAGGACTCTTTCCACTCTTCGTCTGAGCCATCTATCTTCACTTGTTGTGGAACAAGTGAACTTGAACCTGGAGAGATTGGCAGAATGGCTTTCCCTCCCACTATCACTTTTTAAATTTGTTTCCTTGGCTACCTCCCCTGGTGGGACTTTACTTATGAAAAATTCTTCCCTTTGAAACTTCATCTTGTGCTCTCTGATTAACTTGCATGAACACTAATGTTCTAGGAGCCTGGCCAGCATGCTGGCAGTTACTTGACTTCCCATGATGACACTTCAACACTGTATTCACATACCTGGGACAGTCAGGCACTTAGGAAGAAGGGTCCCTTCTTCTTGTGCATGTATCACAATTAGAGCAGAGCTTTGTCCCTTCTAGTTCAGCAGTAATTTCATAAAGCCAAGTCTGAATGTAGGGGGCCTAGTGTACCAACCACTACTGTGCTCTTTCTTCCTCCCTCTAGGCGGAGTCTTGCTCCTTTGTGATTTGTCTTTCTCTTTAAGACAGTCTTTGATGTCCTCCTCCCACGTGGATGAAAAATATTTTATTGGAGTAGAGTTGTGAGAAACAGCTTATGATTTGCTAGCTTGTCAGCCCCCAAGGGAAGGCTCTGGCCATTGAAAGTTACTTTTTCCCAGGACTTGGCGTTTGCACCCCACAGACAACATTTGGCACAGCCGCCTTGGCCACCCATTACCCCCCCACACACCTGGTCTAGGTTTCGATCTTCTATCCTCGCAGCCCCTGTGAACCCAATTGTACAGACTCCAAGAGACATGAGGTCTTTGAAACTGTACAATCAATAAAAATGCATTCTCTCTGCAGTAGTTGTAATTGACAACAATTTTCATTTAGCATCTGTAACCTCTAAAACACAAGTTAATCATTTCAGAGAGGAGACCAGATATTTCCACATCTGAGTTTGTACTTAGAATTAACTCGTCTTCTTCTCCCCTGATTTTGATTACTCTGAAGACCATAAGGGGACAGTATAGAGTGTGATACACATGTGACACGACAGATTGGCAGGTAGCCCAGGTATGACACATTTTGTCTGTGTGACTCAGACCACCACCGGAAGTTGGCTCAGCAGCATCTCTTTGTGGAGCCTGGTTAGGCTGGGTGAGGTCTGGAGACAGTCAGAAGAGGGAGACATGTTCTCTGCCCTCAGGGAGCTTAGTATCCTCTAGTCGGGTGTCTCTGATGGTCAGTCTTAAAGACACACTAAAATGTAATGCTCGGTTTCCTGTGCCAGCCATTACCAGCGAAAATGGGAGGGTCTTCCAGGAAGGAGAGGGTTTGGAGCAGGGCCTTGAAGCCTGTGAGGGTTTGAGTAGGGATTAGGCAGCTCAATACCTTGGAGTCTGCTAGTTCTGGCTTTAGATTCCTGCCCCGCCTATCTTTATGTGAACTTAGATGAGTTACTTAAGCCTTTAATCAGGAGAAAGAGTTGTTGCAAAAATGCAAAACTTGTACAGTTCTTGGTGCAGTAGAAGTTCCATAAATGATGTTTCCCTTTCAGGTTAAAGATGAGAAAGGGTAAAAACTAGATAATGGATTTATATTTGAGGTGAGATGGGGGTGGTGCACAGTGGAAGAACAACAAGAGGTGAGGGTAAAGAGAATATAGAGATTTTTTGTGTGTGTGTGTGTATAGTTGCAGTTTTTTAGTTCTTAAGCATGGATATTCATGTTTTCCCAGAGAAATTTGTGATTGATTATCTCTTTGCCCTGCAGAGCACTGTCTTTTGTCTCCCACTGCTGCCCCATCTTTGCCTGCCTAACCATGTTTCTCCCATGTCTAGGAGTGCTCCCACTCCAGCCCACTGCTGCCCAGCTGTTGGAACGCTCTTTAACACCAACACACTCGAGGCTTTCAAGGCTGCAGATAAGAAGCTACTTTTGGAGCAAGCAGCAGATGAGGTTAGCTGGGAACTGATGATGTATCTGTCCTGTCTTCCCTGGTCTTGGTAGGCCCAGTTGTTCTGATCAGCTGGGGTCTGTCAGGGAAACTAGCATAGAGTCAGTACTTAAAGATCCTTGCAGGCTTTGGTTTATTTCCCAGAGGGAGTTCTTACAGTCTCCTGCATTGGCAGGAAGTTCAGGGAGAAGACATTGAGCCTCTCGGCTGGGGATAGGCCGGAAAACCATGGCAGGGCAGTTGTGAAAAGCTTTGCTGATGTTCTCCAGTTAGCATTTGGAAGCAGCTTGACCTATCTCTAAGAGTTCTATCCCTGTGTCTACATGCCTTTGGGTTTTCTCTTCTTTGTGCCACATGGCTTTCCAGCCCTAAGCACTGTAATGCTGTCAGAGATGATTGTATTGTCTCTTCGTATCTTTAAGGCTAAATCTAAACTACTCCATCTAGGGCGCCTGGGTGGCTCAGTGGGTTAAAGCCTCTGCCTTTGGCTCAGGTCATGATCTCAGGGTCCTAGGATCGAACCCCACATCGGGCTCTCTGCTCAGCAGGGAGCCTGCTTCTCTCTCTCTGCCTGCCTACTTGTGATCTCTCTCTCTCTCTGTCAAATAAATAAATAAAATCTTAAAAAAAAAAATGAGTATGGGTGCCACGGTCAGAGAAGGAGATCTTCTGCCTTTGGTCTTAAGGAAGGCATCCCTAACATCCCTTGAGATGGATGTAGCTTGTGACCCAGGTGATGATGGTAGTTTTTCTTGGCCTGTAGCTTGACTGCCCTGGGCTCCTGGTCTGGCTACACATTTCAAAGGCTGTCTCCAAGGAGCTGGGTTTGATTCTCATCCATTATCAAAAATCACAGATTGTTCCCCACAGAAATCCCACTCCTCACCCTGCGGCTCAGCCTTCACCCTGATTCACACTCCCCAGCAGTTCCCCCACCCTCTTAGTTTTTTGGCCATGGGGCCTGCTCGTCTCTGCTCCAGCTCCTCCAGGGTTATTATGTCAATAGTAGGAACAGAATTCTTTTTGTTTATTTCCCTCTTCCACCCAGTGGCTCCTTTGGTGCAGCTGTTTGTCTTGCATAGTGTCATTAAGTTTAGCAGCTAATCTTAGCTACTAAAACCTTGTGATCAGCAGCTATAGACCAGTACCAGCTTCTGCTTCTGGTCACACTACTTGCTGAGTATGCATAAACTCATTCTCTTTCCTTCATGTCTCAGGGCAAGATAATCCCAAGTGATACTTTCAGAAATCCCCTATACCTAGGTCAAATCACTGCCTCCTAGAACCCCTTCCCAGCCCAGTTCAATGCTCCTCCCAGGAATTCCACATCTTTTTGAGGTAGCATGTCTTACCTGGTGGTGTATCTGGACATTTATGCCTGTCTCCCTCACTGAACCCAAAGCTTCTTGAGGGTAGGAACTGTGTCAGGGTTTTTGTTGTTGTTATTTTTAAGATTTTATTTACTTATTAGAGCATGAGAGGTGAAAAGGTAGGAGAGAGAAGCAGACTCCCCAATAAGTAGGGAGCCCAGTGCAGGACTAGATTCTGGGATTCCAGTATCATGACCTGAGCCAAAGGTAGTCGTTTAACCCACTAAACCACCCAGGCACCTGGGACTGTGTCTTTTATTCTATAATCCTGATGTGCCTGTAAGATAGTAGACAATCAGTAAATATTTGTTGGAGGTAATAATGAAGGCATGAAAATGGCCTGCTTTTCTCCTTGGATGCTGAGTCTGAGTGAGAGGAGGCTCCTGGGTTCTGTCAATTTCCTCAGCCCCCACAGGGAGTTTGTGGTGGTAGAGAGGCCATCCAGAGTGGCCAGAGTGAGGTAACAACCCACTCTACAGCCTGGGGTAAGTGATGCTGGGCCTGGAGGAAAGAAGAGCTTGGAGCTTTTCACCTCTGTACTTCATTTGTGAGAAGCTCAGAGACACCTGAGAACTGCCTTGACCCTTCTCTTTCTTCTGACAGATATGGGAAGCTGTAAAATCAGGTGCTGCTCTCGAAAACCCTGTCCTCCTCAACAAGTTCCTCCTCTTGACCTTTGCAGTAAGTAAATGGACTCTCAGTCATAGTTAGACTGCTGAAATGCCCCGGCCGAGTCCAGGGTGCCAATAGGACAGTCTGCGCTCTTCTCACTGAAGCTACTACATGGTGTTACTGAATTCAGAGCTGTTCAAGAAACACTCATTTGATAAGTTGCCCAATAGTGTTGGCATTTATCACCAGTGCAAAGTTAATTCATTCTGACCATACTGTTGCTAGTTGCATGGTTAATGGAACACCGAGACCCATGTCTTGTTGTTCGGGACAGTCAAGTCAGCTTCAGGGAATAGTGGTTCTTTGTCACCAGTGTCTTTGTTCACTACAGTCCTACAGAGCTCAGTTGCTGGGTCCATCAGCATAAGGAAAAGATGACATCTTGGGGATCATGGCTATCCCCCAACAGCTTCCAGACTAGAGGAGTTCACACTGCATAGTTTGTCCAAACAGCTATGTTTTTTTAAGAATGAGAAATGTTTTGTGTAAGTGTAACATCTGCTGCCCAGGGAAGTAGGGGCAAGGACCTGGTCTCTGGTGGGCAGTGTGGGGAAATGTAAGGGTTGGTTATAGAGACCAGCCATATACACTGCACACGTGTATGTGCATGTGTGTATATCTGTATACATATATATCTCTGTATAAAATAAAGTTAGCCTTTCTAATTAAGTTGACTGTGTAATATTCTGTCAAGTGTATGTCCTTTAGACTCTTGTACATCTAGGTTGTTTCTAATATTCACTACTTTAAAAAATGCTGCAGTGAACAGTATTGGCCACACTGATTTTTATTTCTGCTCATTTTATTTCTTTAGGATAAATGCTTTGGAGAAGGCACATAAACATATTGATGTTAACATATATTGAGTGTTTTGTTTTACCAGCTTCATCAGCTTTGGATATTAATCCTCTTCCCCACATCTATCTCTCCCTTCTCTCCCTCCCTCCCTCCCTTTCTGCCTTCCTTCCTTCCTTCCTTTTGCCCAGTTATAGGTCTTGCCTTTCTTCTTCCTTCATGAACTAATCCTCTGTTTCTTCTGAATGCTGCCTATCTGATTTGCTGCCCAAGGCAAAGGAGAGAATGATAAAAATCATACTGAAGGCCAAGCCAAAGGGAGGCTATCTATAAGGAGCACATTTCCTAACAAGTTATAATGCTTTCTGTGTAATAGTGGGAGAGATATAAAAATGTTTAAATTCTTTATGAGATTACTATCTGTAGTTTGGAATTAATTGCATAAATTTGAGCAATTTTGTAGATCTGCTACTAAGAGATACATAAGTAGTACTAGTTAAAGATTTCTAGGTTTGTTACTTTAGCATCAATACGTTTTCTATACCAAGAATTCTGTATGTTTGCCCTACTGCCCTTTTTACTGATCGTTCTTAACCTGCCTTTTAAAACTAAAAGTCTCTTTAAACACAAAGGGCTTTATGTTTAATTTGAGGTCCTTTGTATCCTGAAAAGAATTTCTAAGAAATTCAAGCCTTTTTCTTTTGAAGATAATCTGATAAAGCTTCTTAGAAATTGTGAGGTCCTTCATCTGGAATTGTTTAACCTTTGACTAAAGATCAGTTATGACAAATCATATAAGTATAAGGAAGAGAATAATCTGTGGAGGTGTTTTTACTTTCCTTTCTGCTGTTTTTAGGACTCAAAGGAACGGACACTTTAATTTCTGTTTTGTAGTTTGTTTTGCTGCCATCAAAAGGGAATTTGTTCTTAGTTGATCAGTTAATAGCAGAATTAGAGACTGGAAACTATAATTACTAGATTTCCTCATTCAGACATATGTTTATATATACATTTATATTTAAAAAGTTATATGGTAAAATTTCATTTATATGAAAAGCCCAGGAAAAGCAAGTCCATAGAGACAGAAAATAGATGAATGGTTCCCAGGGGTTGGCGAGAAGGGGGAATGGGAAGTTCTGTGGATGGGTGTTTCTTTCTTCTTTTTTTTTTTTTTTTTAAGATTTTATTTATTTGACAGACAGAGATCACAAGTAGGCAGAGAGGCAGGCAAAGAGAGAGAAGAGGAAGCAGGCTCCCTGCTGAGCAGAGAGCCCGATGTGGGGCTCTATCCCAGGACCCCGAGATCATGACCCGAGCTGATGGCAGAGGCTTTAACCCACTGAGCCACCCAGGCGCCCCATGGGTGTTTCTAACTAATAAACTGATGGGGGCTTTTTACACTTTAACATGGTAACTTTTATGGTGTGTGAATTATATGTTAATAAGAAGTCACCAAACAACGATCTATTCTTTATTCTTAGCAAAATTCAAGAAGAAATACTGATTAGCCAAATAAATAAACTGATGGAGAAGCTATCAAACACCCATAGAACTATGAGACCCACCATAGGAGTAACTTAGGCCACAAAAGCTGTAAGAATTCAGAGGCAAGAGCATCCAACCTGAGTGGGAACAGTTTTCAAGAACAGCTTCATGAGTCATTGTCCCTGCCTCACTTCCCCTGGTGGAAGGTATACCTCTAAAGATGTAATCTCAATGTCGCTGATGCTCCTTTGTTCTCAGAACCTCTTCTGTGACCCATGGCTATTAATCATGGACTCATTTTATCTCTGCCGGTACAGAGAGTGAGCTGCCTGAGGGCTCGACTGGCTTTTATTTATCTTCTTATTGTCAGAGTGTCTAATGTATTGCTTTGTACATGGCAAGTGTTTAATAGTTGTTGACTCAAATTACACCAACAAGGCATTTCTGAAAGCAGTGTTTTATTATCGCAGGCATGTAGAGGTTATGGATGGCACAGCCGTTTCAATAATATGCTCCATTCGTTTGACTCTGAATAGTGGTAACCATGTCTGCTGGTTGGGCCTTCCCAGATAGTATAGTACATACATATAGTACATACTAGTACCATAGTATGTGTGGTACTAGGACAGAACTTAAATTTCGGAAACAGAATTCTACCCCCCTCCCCACCACTCAGTATCTTTGTTTTGTTCAAGTACTTCACCTTCGTCTAAGCTTCAGTTTTCTGTCCATAAAATGGGATAATAATTATGTCCTGGGATGGTTTTGTGTATTTAACAGTGATGATGGTAATTGCCAGTTAACACTTTCTGTTAGCAAGTGGCTAATATGTTTATCATGAGGTATTAGTGTGTGGTGTATGGGAATATTTTAAGAGAAAGACAAAAATTCTGTATTCTATCATGAGCTCTGTTGGAGATGAGACTTTCTGACCAGCTGATCCTATTTTGTGTGCATCAATGTGTCTATCTACATGGCGATGGGGAATTACATTAATGGATGCATTCCAGTTTAATCATTGGTGCTACTCTGATATCTTCTGTTATATCCTTTCTTCTAGGATCTAAAGAAGTACCACTTCTACTATTGGTTTTGCTTCCCTGCTCTCTGCCTTCCAGAGAGTATACCCCTCATTCAAGGGCCAGTAGGCTTGGATCAAAGGTTTTCACCAAAACAGGTATCAAGAAATTAAATAAAATGCAGGCAAAATTGGGTTTAATACATTTGAGTACGTTAGTTCATTCTAAAGACAGGCACTTGTCTGAATGGAGAGATGGTCACCGTGGAATCCTACAAAGATGGTACTAGGAGCATACTTATTTACAAAATGTTTGTAAAGATCATTTTGAAGGAGTACTGAATGATACTTTTTTAAAGTTTTCAGTGACATTTGGTGAAAGGCTAAGCTGGTAGGGAGGAGTTATAGGAACATGTTGAAAGTCTGCAAGAATTTGCCAAAATGTGGTTTTCACTTTCACTATAGACGATCCTAAGGCAGTCTACTTTGGGAAGAGTCTTTGAGAACAAATAGAAGACATTCTACCACCCTCACACCAGGTTGTGGAATTTCTACATCAGAAATGGTAGACAGAGATCTAGTCTTTTTGGTCTAAGAAAGACAATATAGTCATCAGAGATGGTCTAGTGGAGAGCAGTGAAAATAATCAGGCTAGTAGAACACAGACTCTAAACCAAAGAATTCCAGTTGTCGTTGAGGCAAGGATTGAGTGGCAAGATGATTTGAAATCATGAAGCACATCAATCATTAAACCGTGAATTCTAACACCAGGGAGAAACCCTAATTGATGAAAAAATAGTAGTAAGTTTGTTTAGGGCAAATTGAAGGTTGTAGTTTTGTGGAACTAATTTCCCAAGAAGAAAGACAAGTGGAGGAAAAGGATAATGCCATGGGACTGACTGCTGATGTAAACAAGATTTCTTTTAGGAGTGACATAAATATTCTAAAATTATCCTACATTCTATAAATATTCTAAAATTATTGCACTGTTGGTTGCATAATCCTGCAAACATGCTAAAAACAGCACTGAATTATGCACTTTACATGGGTGAAATTGTCTAGTAAGTGAGGTATGTCTCAGTAATGTTATTTTATGGAAAGGTTCAAGGTAAAATTTATCAGTCGTGGATTCAGTGCTTGGTTATTATAGGAGAGAAATAATGTTTGGAGCTCTCTCTACACCATTGTGATTAACATTTTAGGGTGCCACCATGCTGTACCATAAAGTGTCCCCTCAAAACCTCGTGCCCCTGTCTTAAGACACACCACCATGCACGTGGAAAGGGTTACGTAGAAGTGAAGGGGTATTATTTGGGGGTACTTCTATGTTTATTTGCTACAAAAGAATAACAGGGGTATGCTCAGTCATTTCTAGTCTTCTGGCTTTAACGTACCTTTTATGTTAATTTTTAGCTCAGAACTAGAAAGTAATTGTCTGGAGAATAACTCAATGTTTCCTGTTCTTAGATTCAAGGCCTTGAGCGTGCATATGATGATCTTTGTCAAACAGAAGGAGTCCCAGCGCTACCTTACTTCTTAATCAAGTATGATGAGAACATAGTGCTGGTTTCCCTGCTTAAACACTACAGTGATTTCTTCCAAGACCAAAGGACAAAGGTCAGAAAAACTCTGAGTTTTGTTTTATTATTCTTAAAAAATAAATCTGATGTTCATGTCTTAATAGATCATTGCAAAATTCAAAATCACTTAGATTTCTTTAGCCCTCCAAGGAATGTTGTGGAACATTCTTTAATCTTCATCCTCTCCCAGCCCTGCTGTTCCCAGATCAGCTTCTCCTCCAGATTTTCCTAGCTCTTTTACACCTCAAAGTAATTTTGGGCTCCTCCTTTCCGATTCGTGATAAAGTTATTTCAGTTTTCCTTCCTGATATATTTTGTATCTGTATTTTAACTTATTTCCAGAGTTACCACCATAGTTCAGGCCCTGATTACTTCTGTTCTGGACAGTTAGAGTCTTCTTGCTTCCATCCTGTTTACCACCACTTGCTTCAAACTACTCACATTCACCTTGTCATTCAGTGATCAGGTTAATGGTGTCTTCCATCTGGCTCCAGGCCACTTCTCCTGCTTCATCTTCCGCTGTTTTCCTCATAAACCATTGCTCACCTGAGCTTGCCTGTTTCTTCAGAGAACCCTCACCCGCACCCCTACCCCCACTAATCAAGTCTATGTAGGACTTTTTCTATATCTCTCTTTGACCTCGCACAATATCATCTGAAACATACTCTATGTGAATAATCCTGAGAAACTCTCCTTGTTGGAATTCCAGCTCCATGGTGAAGCCTTCTCACAGGGTGGCCTGGCTGTGTGTGATCTTTCCTTTTCTGATCTCACTGCGCTTACTTTCTGATCCTCATTTTCTGTCCTGTTCCCTTATGCAAGTTACTTTTTGTTCTATCCTAGATGGTAAGCTCCTAAAGGGCAGAGCTTGTATCTTAATGTATCTGCATCTACAAAATATCTTAAACTAGTCTTAGGCCCTCAATAAAATTCTGAACAGATGAAAAAGTACTGTGTCTTTCAGAAGTGTATATAGTGAGCTATCTCATATATAAGGGATTGTAAATTAAAAATAAACAATTGATGAATTTTATGAGCTTACGAAGTCAAGTGGGATAATTTCATTAGCCATGTAGATATATCAGAGTTGAGAAAAGAGAGACCTCTAATAGATGCCCTGATTATTTCTTAGCCTGAACTTAAGATACCTTTTTTTAAGTGCATTTTTTTCTCAACTATATTAGTTAGCATTTTCCTTCACAAAATAATACTTTATTAGGCACTAAGCATTCCATTTTCTATCCTCTTTTTGATCTTTTTTGAAAGAGCCACTATGTGACTGGAGCTCACGAATAGCTTATCACTTTAGTTTGGACAGTGCTGGTTGGTTGCCCAGTGGGAGAGTACTGGTCGATAAATGAACTGCACTAAGGATGGTTCCATTTGTGATTTTTATTTCCAGCTGCATCTTTCTGTTTTTAAATTCTCACAACATTATTCAACTATTATTTTAAGGTTTCAGGTTTTTTTAAACTAAACACTTTGTATATTTCCTACTAATCTTTTTCTATTTTTTAAAGACTAAGATGATATCATATTTTTTTTTATTGTAACATTTAGCACAATACCGTTATACTCTGTATCAACTTCCTTTCTGATAGATAACATCAAATTTTTGACGTTTAGTTTTCTCATACTTCTTCATTATTAGGAGCTTCCCTGTGCATCAGATTCCTGCCCTCTACCCACTTACCTTGAATTATTTCCTTAGGAAGGATTTTTAGATAGAGAACTACTGACTTAAAGGGTTTGGATATTTTAAGGTTTATGATCAGTGGTGTGCTTGTAAATGTTTGACAGCTGGCTCTCTGGTGGGGCAAAACCCTGATTGTGTATGTTGGCTTCTTTTCATGGTGTCAGTCCTCCCACCATGGCCGAGTTCAGGCTGCTAACATGAAGTCACAGAATGCAGAGATGGGAAGAGATGGTAACAGTTGGCTTTCCCAAGTCTGTTCAGGCCAGCTCTGGCCTACCACGGCCTGTCATAACTATGGCTCACAAACTGTGCTGGTTTTCCCTCCTGCCAGCCATGCACCCAGACCAGCCCTGGGATGTTACACATTTTACACATTTGAACCAGTTAGAAAAGGGCCTTATTTACATACTTCGTTCCCTCGGTGAGACTATGATTCCACTTACTGGTCATGGTGACAACCGCATCATTAACAATTAGTTGTCTTTCAAGCCAGTGTTTGTGATTCCATCAAAAACAGCCCATATCTCTGTGCCATTGCCAGTCTTTTGGGAAAGCTTGCTTGAGTCTTCTGCTTTCCTCAGAGCAGTTATTGAAGATTGGATGTTTGGGAAACATTTTGTAATTTTAACAACATTAGCCTTTAATTCTGGGGTTTTAAAATCTTTAGACAGGAGCGAAGCAAAGGAACAACAATTGGTATGCTATTAGCGGGCGTCTTTCTTCACTTAGCAAAAGCTCCGCATCTTGGCAGCTGTCTGTGACATTGCAGTGCATTAGATTCTTGGATTTTTGTATCCCGTACTTTTAAAACATGTAGTCGCCTTTGCACATTTCCTGTTCCATCAAGTATTTGAGTAGTAGATGGCCATTTGTCAGATAAGTGTGTTTTAAGGGAGCAGTGTGGAGATTTCTCCAGCTGAAGGTACTCAAGTTGACAATTTTGCTCTCTTTTCTTTCTCATGTACTTTTTCAGCAAATAACTGGGTGGACCATAGCCAGAGCATGACTGAGCTACTTCAATGAACTGTGTGCTCTCGGCCAAGTAGAAAGGAGCATTTATTTCGACAGCCTTCTAAACAAAGCTTTTTTCCCCCCAATTACATTTTGCTTCTTTCTACTGATTGGTATTATAAAAGAAGTGATTTGCCCAGCTTTGCACAATGATTGTGTGACAAAGCCAGGTGGAGAAGGCAGAACTCCTAGCCCATGATGATTTCTGGCTGCCACTACCAACAACAAAAAAATCTATTTACCCAAACAGTTAAGCTGGCTTACCTAGCATTGTGCTGACTAATTCCTGACTAATTGAGGTTCCTGATTTGGTTCCGAAAGCACTTAAAGATTTTGGAATCACTTTTGAATCATCAAAGAAATATTAAAGGATGTTCAGCCTAATGTCAAATGGATTCTGTCATTTTCCTGTCTGGATGCTTGCTTTTTGTACTCATGCGTGCCTCATGTGGGTAGGAGAGTTACTTTAAAGCATCTCGAAGTTGACCTCCCTGTGTGGTTGATAGATTTCTCTTCAGCAGTTCCTTCCTACTCTGTAGCTCATCTTAGGTCAGGTTGCTCTAAGAAACTGATTCCTGTTTTTTTCTGCTCAGAAAAAGTTGGTTTTTTTTTTCTTACTACCTTCCTATCTCATTGCCTTTGTATTTAGTGTCAGAAATGTACTCATTCTTTGAAATAAGGCACCACTTACAGTATCTAATATGACGTTCTTGTTTCTATAACTTAATTTAGTCCCAACTCTTCACTTATAGATGATAAAGCCTAAATGTGGAAAGTATATGATAAACTGGAACTTATCCCCTTCTTTTCTCTGCCAGTTAGGAAAAAGGGAACTTTGAGATGGAAGGTAGATCGCTACGTAATGATAACAGATTGAACTGAACAGAAGGGTCAGTGCAGATACGACATAGAGTTTATTTACATTGCTGTTATAGTTAGCATTCGTTGAGCTTGCCTTGTGTCCAGTCTCCATGTGCAGGCAGAGTTCTCCAAAGAGGAGAAACCTAAGGTATAGAGAAATTGTATGAGAATAAGGCATCTGCTAAGAGTCCAGATTTATTGAGTCACATTTGAAAATTGAAACTCAGAGTCTCAATACGAAGGTCATTTTCTGGAATTGAGGCTATGTAGATTCTTCCTAAATAAAAATTGAGTAGCTTTTAAATACCCAGTAAGATTGAGCCTAATAAGTCTGTGTTGTCTTATAAGCTATGTAGGATTTTATTTCTCTTTAATGTTCTATCAAGTTCTATAATTCTGGAACTAGAAGGAATCCTTTGAGATGAAATGATGCAACCCCTCCATTTTATAGGTAAGGAGAGAATTTCTCCACAGTCGATTTTCTTCCCTACGTTAGTATGCTTGCCTACTCACACCCCAAGTTCTGAAAATCAGTTAGCGGTAGAATTAGAACACATGCCTGCTGACCTCTGGCTTTTTCTACCACATCAGGTCATTTTCTTCTTCTAAGCTGTTTTAAATGTTATAGAAGTAGAATGCCAGCCTCACCCTTCTCCCCCTTTTCTTGCTGGATAATAGAGTTGTAAATGTCTTTGATAAATTTTTTAAAATGTGAAGGCAAAACAATGATTACTTAAATGTAATTTGTCCAGCAGATGCCATCTGTCATGATTGACAGAAGGGAATAAAGCTGAAGGGTGTCCCAGGTGGTGGCGGTTGCCCACAGGACCAGAAGACCTCAAGGGAGACAACATCTTCATTCAGAGGGAGCCCTGGGGGGAGTGCCTCATTTTTCGGGTTCTCTCATCTCTCAGAGCAAGTCCTTTAAGATTAAACTGTCACATTCTCATCCAGGGCAATCCCAGTTTGAAAATGTCACTGAAGGGGGAACCTGTACTGTTGAGAAAGGAAAGGGGAGGGAAAAGGGCCAGCCAAGATGCTGTACCATGGCTTTACATGTGAGCTTCAGATCTCTGTTGGTTAGCCATCATCTCCCTCCCTTCATCTGCGTCCCAGGATCCCTGCCCAAAAATGGGGTATAAGGGGCAGAGCATCCCATATAGTGGGTCTTGGAGAAATGGCCAGTTTTGTCATTTATTCAGCAGAATTTGCTGAACATCCATTACTGTGCCAGGCACTAGGGATGGAAAGATGCATGTGATAGACATTGCTTGAGCCCGCACAGAGCGAGGCCACTTTAAGCAACTGCTGCACTCTCAAGAGGTCTTTGTAACTTGTTGTGCTTTAGAATTACCTGGCGAGCTTTTAGAATAACTAATGCTCAAGCCACAGCCCAGACTAGCAAAACCAGAACCTCGAGTGGTGGGACCCAGGCAGCAGGATTTTTGAAAGCTTCCCAAGTGATTGTCACACACATTCAAATATGAAGACCAAGACAGGAGAGAGTTGAGGAGCATGGCAGTGTGCTCAACCTGCCATGAGCGTGCAGTTCACCTGGGTCCTTGTTAAAATGCAGAGTCGGATCCAGTGGGACTGGAGACAGGGAGCCTGAGATTCTGCATTTCCAGCAGATTCCCAGGTGGTGCTACTGGTGCGTGGACCACATTTACAGAGAATGGAAAGACATAGAGCCAGTCCAGACTTTCCAAGGTAATGAAAAATGGCCCCACAGACTTTCCTCTTTAGTCTACAAGATCACCTTCTCTAATGGTTCGCCAAGAGTGTGTGGACTAGTTCAACGGCACCAGCATCGCTTTGACACTTTATACAGATACACGTGGCTAGGCTCACCCCTGGAGATTTGGACGCACGAATAATGTTAGTAGCACTACACATATACAGGGCTTTTCATGTCAGTACCATACCCTGTCATCCTCACTGTGTCTCTGTGAAGTAGGTGCCCAGAGATTCAGGTTTAAAAAGCTGAGACCTGGATGCCGGGGTGGCGCAGTCAGTTTCAGTGTCTGACTCTTGATTTTGGCACAGGTCATGCTCTCAGGGTCGCAGATTAAGCCCTGGTGTCAGGCTCTGCGATCAGTGGGGAGGTGGCTTGAGATTCTCTCTTTCTCCCACTCTCCCTCTGCTTACCACCCACCCCGTACTCACTCTCTTTCTCTCAATTAAATCTTTAAAAAAAAAAAAAAAAAAAGTCAAGGCCTAGGGGCACCTGGGTGGCTCAGTCAGTTAACATCCAACTCTTGATTTAGGCTCAGGTCATGATCTCAGTGTCGTAAGACTAAGCCCCACGTCAGGCTCCATGCCCAGCATGCTTAAGATCCTTTCTCTCTCTCTCTCTCTACCCCTGCCCCTTTCTGACTACCCCCCCCCCAAAAAAACAGCTGAGGCTTAAAGGATTTGACTGATTTGCCTTAGGCCAGTCATGTAGCAAGGGGCAGTACTCAGAATAGTCTGTGCAAACTCTGTTTTTAAAAGCTTCTTGGATGCTGGTATTTTGTCTTCCATGGAAAAGAAAGTCTCAAATAAAGATATTCTGTGTTTCCTGAAAGGATAGTTATATGTCTGAATCTGTATTGAATAAAATATGAATCTGTCTGTTTGCATTAAAGACAGGAAATGCATCTACACAAAAAGCTTCAGTGTTCTTAAGAATAAGAAAATTTCACATAGAGAAGGTAGCAAAAAAAGAGTACTCTTGGAACAATGCAGTAATTATCTGATAGTACTATAGTAGAATTCATTTTCAGAGATTTTTATTGAGCACAGATGAAAGCTAATTAATTGTCCTTCCATACAGGAAATAGCAAAAAAGTTGTGGTGCACCAGTACAATGGAATGCCATTCAGCCACTACTGACAGAGGTTGTAGAAAGACATTTATTGGCATAGAAGAGAGTTAACAATGAATAAGAGCTATAAAACAGTATTTATAGCACTGTCTCATTTTCATTTAGTAATAAAAATTATACTAAAATTGTATAATTGTATAAAAGTTACGATAAAAATATATTTATGCAAAGATAAAATTAAGGGGGATTATATACCAAGGTGTTAATGCTGGTTTTTTCTGGATGGTGGACTTATAGGCCTTTCCTTCCTTCCTGCTTGCCTGCCTTCCTTCTGCCTTCCTGACTTTCTACTTTTGTTTCCTTTCTTTTCCTTTCTCTGAGTAAGGATTAAGCTTCTGCTTTGTGTCTAATATTATATTGAGCATTGTAGTAAAATAAATGGAATTGTTTGGCCTGGCCCCATTCTTATGGAACTTAGTGGATCTAGAGTAACTAAAATTCTACTGTGTTTTTATTTATTTAACCCAAAACTATACCTATAAAGGAAACCTGTCGGTTGATTTATGGTTCTCTCCCAGCCATCCTTCCTCCATCCCTCCCTTTCTCCCTCCTTTCACATACAAACCCATCCACCCTCACTCCCTCCTTCCCTCTCTCCTACCCACCCACTCATCCATCCATCCATCTTTTCATTATTCAACATGCATTCACTAAGTATGTGGTATGTATATATGAACTGATCATGGGGAGATGAAAAAGATACTCCCTCTTCTCTAGATGCTCATTGTCTTCTTTTCTTTGAAATAAACTTTTTATTTTGGAGTAACTTTAGATTTATTAAAAAACTGAAACTACAGTGCAGAGAGAATTCCCATACACTCTCACCCAGTTTCAGTTTTCTCTGATGTTATCCATAGTACCTGAGAAAGCAACATTGGTGGATTACTCTTACCTAAACTCTGGACTTTATTCTCCTTTTCACCAGTTTTTCCCACAACAGCTTCCTTCTGTTCCAGGAGCCATTCCAGGAGACTACATTGCATTGTGTTGTCATGACTCTTTGGTCTCCCCTGGTCAGTAGTAATTCCTCAGACTTTCCTTGTTTTTGATGACCTTGACAGTTTTGAAGAGTACTGGACAGTTATTTTGATAGAATGTTCCTTAATTTGTATTTGTCTGATGATTCCCTATGATTAGACGGGGGTTATGGGTTTTTGGGAAGAAAGCCACCAAGGGTGAGCTGCCTTAGTCATTGCATCATATCTCGGGTGCCTGATATGCACACGGCATCCATGATGATGTTAAACTTGATCATGTGGTTAAGGTAGTCTTTGCCAGGTTTGTCTCTTGTGAAGTTACTGTTTGTTCTTTGGGAGTAGGTCACTGAGTCTAGCCCACTCTCCAGGAGGAGAAGGATTAAGCTCTACTCCTAGAAAGGGCAGTATATTGTTTGGAAATCTTCTATAAGGAAGACTTGCCTCTTCACCTTCTTACTTTTATTTATCCCATCATTTATTTATATCAGTATGGACTCACAGGTATTTATTTTATACCTTGGATTATAATCCAGTCCTGCATTATTTATTTGCATTGTTCAGATTGTTCTAGCCTTACCATCGAATGCTGTTTCAGTTGGTTCTAGTGTCCCCTTGGCATGGCTCCATGCCTTTGTTTGTTGAGCACTTACTTTCTGGTATACAAGATGCTGCAGGCTCATCTTGTATTTTCCCTGCCTCAGCCCTAGACTTAGCCATGTGTTCAAGGAGCCCTGATTCCTTTTATTGGAGAATGGTATTGTCTTTTGCAAGGAAGAAGAAAAAGTAAAAAATGGTATGTATAATCTACAAATTGCTGTGGAAGCACAGCAGAGTGACTATTCCCACCAAAGGGAGTCTTCACTGAAGAAATGGTATTTGAAGTTGGATAGAGTTTTCTAGACAGAGGTCAGTGTTGAGGGAGTTGAAGGGGGATGGAGTGTAAGGAAATACATATTAACAATATCAAGAGCATCTGACTTTTAAAAAATTATTTATTTATTTATTTGACAGAGAAAGAAAGAGCACAAGTAGGCAGAGAGGCAGGCAGAGGCAGGGCGGGGGGGGGGGGGGGAAGCAGGCTCCCTGCTGAGCAGAGAGCCCGATGCGGCACTCGATCCCAGGACCTTGAGATCATGTCCTGAGCCAAAGGCAGAGGCTTAACCTACTGAGCCACCTAGGCACCCCAAGAGCATCTGACTTTTTCGTTTGATCTGACTGTAGGCTTGTAATGGTAGTGGCCCTTCTTTGATTTTTTTGTTACATAAACATTAGTAGTTTTCACAGGTTGTGTCTCTTTATGAGAGGATGTTCTCTATGTGAGCCCTGACAGTTGACTGTCTTCCCTCCCAGCTACTTTCCCTGCAATCTTTCTTCCTTCTGAATGTATCTAGTTCCTACTATGCCAAGCCTACTGCAAGGTGTGGAGGCTGCAGAGAAGAATTCGATAGCCCCTCCATCTAGAAGCCCTGTGGTCTGGCATGAGGTCCTTTTGCTTTCTTCTCTACTCTCTAGCCCTTCATCAAGTGTCTAATTGTTAGTGCTTTTGCAGAATAGCATAAAAGGGAAAAAAGCAAATACAGTGTCTGTACTGTGAACCTGACATGACACTTGACTCACTCAAAACATCTTTTCTCTTCACAGATAACAATTGGTGTATATGATCCCTGTAACTTAGCCCAGCATCCTGGATGGCCTTTGAGGAATCTTTTGGTCCTAGCAGCACACCGATGGTATTTACATGTGTGTGTCTTTGTCTGTCTGTCTCTGTCATTCTATTTTTGACACTGTGTATGCCTCTGTCTGTGTCTCTTTTTTTTCCAATGCATTTTTTCATTTCTGGCATAGAAACCAGATAATAAATCAATTCAGTCATGATCCAGTTTCCATCAGTGGAAGCCCCTAAGCAGGTATGTTACAGAGCTGCAGACTGACCATATTGCACTAAAGACATTTCAGAGTAGGGCAGAGTGAGCAGCCATAGGTCCCAAGCTGGAAATTCCAGCCCCTCCCTCCAGCTGTCTGGGTCAGCCTCACATAGGATTTTCTTACTGCTGCAATCTTCCTTTTCTTCTAGCCCTAAAATAATGAAAACAGAGGGTATCTAAGAGGTCAGTATACATTTAAAAAGATGCTCAACATCATTAGTCATCATGGACATAAAATATGATGAGATTCTACTCAGTAATAAAGATAATGAGGTACCATGCTGAGATACTACTACATGCCTACCAAATGACTTGAAAAAGATGACAGCACCAAGTGTTGTCAAAGATGTGAATCAGTTGGAACCCCCAAACTGCTCAAAAATGGGCAGCATCCACCAAAGTTAAAACTGTCTATGGCTCAACAGTTTCTTTCCCAGGTAGATAATGCATAGAAATGTGTGCTTAGAAGCAAAACACACATGCAGGGATGTGTACAGCAGCATTATTCTTTATAAACAAACACCAGGAATAACCCAGATGTCCTTCAACAGTGAAATGGTCGATAAATTGTGGCATATTCATTGTGATGGAATGTGATGTAGTAAAACTGGTGAACTGCTGATGCTCATGTCAACACGGATGCCATGAGGTTCAGTGGAAATAATCCAGCCCTTAAGAGAATAGGCCCTCTATGATTACTTCTCTGTAAAGATCAGAGCAGGAAAAGCCCAGGAGTAGACTTAGACATTAGAGTAGTAGTTACTCTTAAAGGGGCTGGCCAGTGACTGGGAGAGGCATGAGATAGGCTCCTTTATGTTTAGGATTTGTGTACTTGTCTTCGTATCTGTTTTACTTACATAAAAATGCTTTTAAAAAAAATGAAGATAGTTAATTATAGATTGTCCCCAGAGGGAGAATTGTTACACTTGCTTACCCAGGTAGTGTGTCTGGAGAGTACACATAGGCTTGCTAACTACTTCTGACTGAGGTGCTATTTCATAAAATATGAGTTCAGAGGGAGAAGGGGGGCCAGGAGAACCCGTGAATGTCTTAGAGTTTCTTTTAATGTCTTGTAAGCTTTTTTCCCCCTCTATTTAAGATGCATTTGTCAGAATTATTTATTTATTTATTTATTTATTTATTTATTATTTATTTTATGTGATTGTTACATAAAATTCATTTAGAAATCACAGCCAGTCCATTGTTTGGTCTCTAAGCATTTGGACAAAGAAAAGCATACGTGAATGTGTTCAAAATCTCTCAGAGGTTAAGGCCATGCCCCAAGAGTTCAGGGAGGCATAATTAACAATGAATTGAATACTCTCCAACTGGTTTTGCTGAAGCTCTTATGTGAGCTCTTTCTTTTCCCTCCTTAAAAAAAAAAAAAATGAATTAATTCAAACCTGGGGCCTGACATCAAGGAGTAGCAGTTTCCAGTCTGTTGAAGTCCTTTGCTTCCGGGACCGCACCATGCAGGGGGTGAGAGACATTGCTCACAGCATCGTCTTCGAAGTGAAGCTTCCAGAAATGGCATTTAGCCCAGGTAATTTGCCGGTCTTTGAGAATGCATATAATTATCATTTATCAGGAACTGAAGCAAGTTTAACTTTCCTTTCATTCCCTTCACAATGGCAGCAGAAGGTAGAGAAAAGTACAACCCCTACCTCTTTGCCCATGGGAACACCTCCCTTGAACAGAGGGCACTCTCTGCTATTCAGAAAGGAACAAAGGCAAAGATGGTCCTCAGGAAATTTCCTTCAGGCCTTTGTTTTTTCCCTCCAGTCTTGAAGATTCTCCCCCCACCACCTAGCTTTTGTTTCACATAAAATCTTTATTCCTGAACTTTCTTACAGGAAGAACAAAATACTATACTTACATATTTATTTGTTGTGTAAAGTTATGTGATCTTTCTCTCCATATAGTAAATCAGTCAGCAAAAGTGCCATTTCTCCTTCCACATTCAATATTCTTCACTAGATCCTAAATGGTAGACATCAGCTGTTATCTCCAGTTCATAAGTTAGGAAACTTGGGCTCACGGATATTTTATAGATGTGTGTGTGTGTGTGTACATTTATGTATTTTTATACATATTACAAAGATAGAATACATACTCAAATTCTAGTAAAAATAAAGATAATACTTACCTCATGGAGTCTCCCTTAGGACGAATGTGTGTCCTGTATAAAAGACAGAACACTATCTGGCTTATTATAGGCATTTAATAAATGCTAATTTATGTTAATTTCCTATTTACACAAAGCCCAGCACTCTCCAGAATGATCCCTCAGATTTCTATGACTTACATGCTTTCCAGGATACCTTTATACACATTGTTTAATTTGCTTTTCACCACATCTACATTGTTCTATGGCACTTTGTTTTCTTTCTTCTGGGGGTCCTGTGCCTCAGAGAGAGAGAGAGAATGTGTGTGTGTGTGTGTGTGTGTGTGTGTGTGTGTGTGTGTGTGTTGGGGAGGACAGTGTTAGCTTCTCTTCTGAGATGTCATTTCTCTAGTGATGTCAGAAGGTTTCAGGATTGGCTCTGAGGGCATTTTATCGGTGATTCTTTGCCATTGCACTGATAAATGTCTTAAATAGATTTCCTGGATAAATTTACAGTGGATTTAGCTTGGTTGGGCAAAGAGGGGTATAGGTTGTAAATTGAGAGCCCTAAGAAATCCACAGCTTTCCTGCTGTCTTTAGATCCATGCATTTGATTGAGCACCCTCTTCTGGCACCTTCTAAAATAGCTTCCATGTGCTGTTAACTGAGGTGCCATACCTGCGTGTTACTAAGCCACAGTTGTAGATAGTTCTAGGGGAATGGGTGAGTTACCTAACAAGTGATATGTGCCTGGTCTGTGCCTGGCAGGCCACCAAATGCCTTCCACACTTCTTCACTCACTTAATCTTGCCAGCTGTCCTTCAGAGGAGGCACTTTTTTTTTCCATTTTTATGATAAAGTCATTGTATGATTCTTCCTTCACGGTCCCGATGATCTCGCTGATATTGGTGAAGCTGGCAAAGCCTGGAAGCATTGCACATTTCCTTTTGAAAATGGTGCTTCCTATCACCCAATAAATACCTTCAATATATGTATATATTTAAGATTTTATTTATTTATTTGACAGAGAGAGAGCACAAGTAAGCAGAGCAGCAGGCAGAGGGAGAGAGAGAAGCAGGCTCTCTGCTGAGCAGGAAGCCCGATGTGGGGCTCAATCCCAGGACCCTGGAACCATAACCTGAGCCGAAGGCAGCTGCTTAACCAACTGAGTCACCCAGGCACCCCAGTATATCTTCTTTATACTTGATATTGAGTGTAGATTATTTAGTTTAGGAAAGACCAATTTTCTTTTTTTCATCTAAATTAGTTTTCCCTCCTAGCTCTAAATAAAACTTTAAATAAAATTTTGTAAAGAATTATTCTGTATCATAGTATGAAATGAAGGCTATTGATATGGTAGTATTTTTTATTATTTCGAAGACAACCCAAAATTGCAATGACAATGGCATAAGAAGTACAATTTTAATCATCTTTTGCTCCTTGTGGTGCAAGGAGCCCACTGTCCATTGCTGATACGAAAAGTGTACTGGCAGCCAGGGGAAGGAGGCAGCAGACTGTGCTGTGAGTGGGACATTCTTCATCTTAATTCCTGTCCTTGATGTTCTCCTCCTGCTTATTCAGCTGTGGGAAAGCAAGACCTGATTTTCTCCTAAAAAATATTTTTCTATTATTTGGGGCATGTCTTATGGATACAGTTTATATAGAGGGAGATAGGACTGACTAAATACTATTGGTGGATTAAATATATTTTTTCATTGTTAATAAGCTATATCTAATATATATATAGGTAATATATCTATATCTAGATATATCTAATATATCTAGTTTTATATATATTTCTTAGAAATGGCTGTGACATTTTGAGTACAGAGATGTTTTCATTTGAAATGAAATTTTGTTTTTGTCTATGACTTCTTATCTATAACAGGAGAAAGCTTAGGCCAGAGTTGTTAGTTACAGTACTGAACTGTGGTTCTGAAATTCTTTCAAGTTTTTGGCTATATGTTAGAGAGGTACTTTTTTATTTAATGTAAGAGTAGTTAAGGAAAACAAACAAAATATGAATTTAGTAACATGTCTGAACTCCTTTTCCTAGAAAAAAAGAATTTTGAACTCTTAACCTCTGTAAGAACTCCTCTTTTATAGCAGTTTAACTTTGTTACATTAAAAAAAAAAAATTGGACCACATCAGAGTGCCTGAGTTAAAATGGGAAGGGACATTCGTTTTCTGGATCCTTGCTGTGAATGATGTCTCCAGCCACAGTGGGGCCCAAGTAGCTTTCGAGGATAACAGGCACCAAGGTTTTCCATTGGTCATTCTATCCCAGAAAGGAAAGATTGCATTAAGAAAATCTACACCTTCTAGGTCCCATATTTATATTGAGCAATACTGTTTTAAAAAACAGAGGTCAAGGGACGCCTGGGTGGCTCAGTTGGTTGGACGACTGCCTTCGGCTCAGGTCATGATCCTGGAGTCCTGGGATCGAGTCCCGCATCGGGCTCCCGGCTCCGCAGGGAGTCTGCTTCTCTCTCTGACCTTCTCCTTGCTCATGCTCTCTCTCACTGTCTCTCTCTCAAATAAATAAATAAAATCTTTAAAAAAAAAAACCAAAAAAAAACCAAAAAAAAAAACCAGAGGTCAAAAGCTAAAAAGTTCCCAAGGAAAGAAAAATAGAAGTGTTGACAGCAATCTAAAAGTAGGAGAATTGGGGCGCCTGGGTGGCTCAGTGGGTTAAAGCCTCTGCCTTTGGCTCAGGTCATGATCCCAGTGTCCTGGGATCGAGCCCCGCATCGGGCTCTCTGCTCGGCAGGGAGCCTGCTTCCTCCTCTCTCTCTCTCTCTCTCTCTGCCTGCCTCTCTGCCTGCTTGTGATCTGTCAAATAAATAAATAAATAAATAAAATCTTTAAAAGTAGGAGAATGGTCAAAGAACACCAACATACAAATTAGAAACATACAATTCTTCCCAGCAGTCCCATACATTTTTAAGTCAGGGAGTTTCTTTTCCTTCAGAGAATGTTACTTAAGGCAGACATTGGAAGGGATGCTAGCAGCATAGATTGTGGCCAAGTGAATTCGCTGTTAAGGAGTTGAGGTTTTAGTGTGAATTTCAGGTATTTGGTGAGAATGGGAGAGTGACAAAGGTCCTAAGATGTGAGGAGTGTGAGAGAGGCCCCCATTAGCAGGTTTCCACCAAGGAAGTCAAATTACCATTAAGGTGAGAAAGTAGCAGGAGCTTTCTAGAAAGCAAGTGAGACACTTAAGAGATTTTTTAATAGTAGAATAGAGCAACCACAGGACCCTTATCCTCTCAGAGCATCACACAGAGCTCTGAGAGCTTCGAGAACTGGAATTAAAGTTCCGAGGCACCCATAGCAGAGATTAAGAGAGGTTAGTGGAGAAGAGAGAAGTCAGGGAAGGGGAAGGTCTGAATGGATAAGGATAAACTTAAAGGAGAGGGCCGCTTAACAGAGGGATAGGCCAGGTGCTCAGTGACAGGCTTGGGAGGCTGAGCAGAGGGACATGGTAAGGATGAGAAACAGAAAGGAGGAACTGAATGCAGAGGTTGAAAGCCTGGTGGGAACTTCAGCGGAAAAGTGTAGTCACACTGGCTGGTCTTCCTTGGTTAGAGAGCTCTGCACAGGGTTATACATAGCCCAGAGGGGATCGTCTTATTTTGAGCAACTTCCGGGAACTGGGGAAGTGGAGGCAACCAGATGAAAATCAAGGGTTATTTCAGAAGCCCTTCTACAGAAAAACCATGCCCAGGTCTGGTGGTCTCTCCACAAGGGTGTGGGTAGTTGGGGCAGATGGCCAGCCACTTAGCAAGTACGTGCAAGGTCAAGCCCTGGAGCCTCGGTGAGAAAGAAGTGAACTGAAAGCTTATTAATGTTTGGCCCTCTTGCTACTTGACTTACTTGTTTTTATTTTTCCTTCCTTCATTCAACTCACTATTTTATTTGCTTTAAGATTGTCCCAAAGCAGTTGGATGGGAAAAAAACCAGAAAGGCGGCATGGGACCGAGGATGGTGAACCTCAGTGAATGTATGGACCCCAAAAGGTATATTTTGGAAGCTGTTTTCTCCAATGGGGCTGTTTGTTACCAGGACACACAGAAGGTTCCGTCAGGCCAACCACATCACTCAGGGCAGCGCAGGGGCTGCTGTTTATAATGACAAGTGTTACTCCACTCTTCGCTGCCTGATTTAAGTGTGGTTGTGAGAATTAAATATCACCAGTGGGGACTCGGAAGGGCACACAGTTCATCTACTCTTCTAGACATTATAAATTTTGTTCTTGCTTTGAGCTGAGACACTCAAACCTAGTTAGTTACAGGTACCTACTACCTTTTAGTCCTTTATTCATGGTCCTTTGATTTTTCCTATTAGCCTACATTGAAGGACGTTGTAAGAAATATTTTACGGAAACCAGTGTTGTATTTAAGGGATGATATAAGTGCACCCTTTTTTGAGGGGATGTGGAAAATGTTTTTTGGTTTTCAGTATTAGGGAAAACCTTCCTCTTAAGTAGCTGGTGTTTTTTTTATTTTTTATTTATAGTTACAATGACTCCTGTAAGTGGCCATGTCTGCATTTTCACCTTGGCTGCTAGGGGCTCAGTATCAAATTTATGGCGTATCACTAGCAGTTGCAGTGGTCTACGGTGGCCCAAATTGTGTGCCATTTCTCCTCCCTACTGCCCTAAAGCTTCATCTTATTTTCCCTTTGATCCCATTTTGCTCAGGATTTGTTCCTCAGTTTCTTATTCAGATGATTTCTACCTTTTTAGGATAAGATGGGGCATAAATGAGTGACTGAATGAATAAATAATTCTGTCATTTTCTAGGTTAGCTGAGTCATCAGTGGATTTAAATCTCAAATTGATGTGTTGGAGATTGGTCCCTACTTTGGACTTAGACAAGGTTGTGTCTGCCAAGTGTCTGCTGCTTGGAGCTGGCACCTTGGGTTGTAATGTAGCTAGGACACTGATGGTAAGTTTATGGGGGCCAAATGGTACCTCTGAAGCTGTGGCTTCTTTTCTTATTTTGCAATACCATATTGCCTTCCACCTCCCAGATTCCCTTTCCCTTCTTCCCATTCTTCTTCCCTCCCTCTCTCCCTTCCTTTTTCTTTTCTCAGTTATCTTTTTTAACTATGAAAGGCACTCATACTTTTATTATAAAGTAGAAACAGAAGGTCTTTCTCCACCCTCATCTCAAGTCCCATTTCCCAGAATTAAGAAGACTTCCTAGATTAGTACCCAATATCACATTCCTTGAAGTTTTCATAGGCAGATGCAAACATAGAGGGACATTTGTCATCTTTGCTGTCATCTGTTTATATTTATAAAAATTGGATCATAGTATACTGTCTGTAACAGGTTTTTATTCTTAACTTTATAGAAAAGTAATTGTGGTTCTCTGTGTGTTCTGTATAATGTATACATAGTGACCTTGTCCTCGATTTTTTCAAACTTCAGCATATTTTTTTGAGATACTGTTGAAATGAACATTTTTATATCTTTACATATGTCTAGGATTATTTCTTTAGGAAAAAAGCCCTAGAAGTAGAATTGTTATTTTAGAGAGAATGTATGTGTGTATGCACATGCATACATATATGTGTGTGTAACTGTGTGTATACTCACATGCACTTAAATGTACAATATATACTATGTACAATATGTTTATGTGGGTTTTTTTTTCAAGCTTAATTACCTTCCAGAAACATTTTACTGGATTGTACTTCTAGAAACTTGTACAAAACAGAGCTTTTTAATTTGCATTTATTAGTGAGAGTAAATCTTTAATTTCATTTCCTTTGTAAATTTTCTTTTATTCATCGAAATTTTCAAATTAATTGACACAAAATACATACAGTATTCTCTTAGCATCTTTTAAGACTCTGTCTTTTTTTTTTAAGATTTTATTAATTTATTTGACAGATCACAAGTAGGCAGAGAGGCAGGCAGAGGGAGAAGGGAGGAAGCAGGTTCCCTGCTGAGCAGAGAGCCCGATGCGGGCTCGATCCCAGGACCTTGAGATCATGACCTGAGCCAAAGGCAGAGGCTTTAACCCACTGAGCCACCCAGGCGCCCCAAGACTCTCTTTGTCTTTTTAAAAAATCTTTCCTCATCCCTAAGGTTGCATGTTTATGTTTTCTCTTTTTTTTCTCTTATTCAGACTTGCCAGAGGGGCGTGTCTATTTTATCAGTCTTTTTGGAAGACTAAGTCCTTGATTTATTTATTAGTTCTATAGCTTTTGCTCTCGTTTTGCTTTGCTTTCAGATTCATTAATAATTACTTTTATCTTCATTAATATCTTCCTGTTTTGTGGAATTTATTTTATTGTTCTTTACCTGGCTTCCAGAATTAGGTGCTTAGGTTTTCTTAACATTTTTAAAAATTATAAAGTCAGTGGAAAGCTACTGTAGAAAATTTGTAGTGTCAAAGTTAGAAAGCAGGAAAAGAAGACACCCATTTTCCTACCAGTTTTTCTTATTTCCTTCAATGTTTGTTAAATATATATTTAAAAAATCTTATTTATAATAATGCCCCTTGCTTTCATCTATTAACATTGTAACACTTTCTCATGTAATTAAAAATGATGCCTGTCAGGCATTTTTGATGACTATAGAATATGCCTTCTTAAATGATGAAATATACTGTTCTGAGACATTCCCCTAATGGTAGATGCTAACATTGTTTCCAGTATTTTACAACTGTAAATTATGTTGTGGAACATTTTGTTAATATTTCAGGTTACTTCCTCGGATAAATTGCTGGAAGCATTTACTGAGGATAGATTGCTGCAAATAGACTAGAAGATATGAACATTTGAAAGATTCTAGAAACATATTGCCAAATTGTCTTCCAGAAAAATTTCATCAGTTTACGTTCTCATCCAGTACAATAGCTTTTCATCACCACACCCTCACCAGCATCAAGTGTTACAGTTTTCTTTAATCTTGGCAGGTTAGCCATTTAAACTGTGTAGCATTCCAAAAAGCCAGAAGCAAATACCCACCCCTGCAGGTGGCTAACCTGTGGTCTGTTTGTAATTTACCTGGCTTTCTTCCCACTGCCCAGCATCTTCCCAGACTGTCTTCCTTGCTGTCCATTCAGCATTACTTTAAGGAAGGTAAAAATACTTCAGAAATAAATGTCCCCAAACCAAGCACAAGTGACTTTTAGATTTCCCATACCTTTATTCTGCCTCCATGGTAGACTGCTTTGCTGGTAAAAGTCACTTACCAAACTGGGTGAGTAGACCAAAGTTTACTAGTGGGCTTTCAAAACAGATAACCTAAACTATGCTTTTGAAAGGATGGATTCTGGCCTGTCCTTCTCAACCCTGCAAATGAATCTTGGATTTCTGTTGACTGTGCCCTTGGAACCATCAGCCTAATTGAGTTTCCGAATCCCTAATGGAAAGATACTGAAATAAGAGAGAGAGCAGAATCAGCTTTGTAGCCAGTCATGGCAGGGCTTCTCTTAGATCACTATGCTTTCTTATGATCTGCTAAAATACACACACTGCACCTCACTCTTCAAAAAGTAGGCATCTTCATTTGGTTGCAACTCTGGGTTTCATTCCTTCCCAACCATTAACCAGATCTATGACCTTAAATGATTTCCGGGTTACTCTTGCCATCTCTGTAGAACAAAATAATTGGACTAAGGATGTTAGAGATTCCATCTCACTTCAAAATTGTGTGGTTCTATAAGACTTTCTAGGAGTTATAATTGAAGTATATGAAATCATGCAAACTATTTCTGAGAATATAGAATTGTCCGGTGGATTACCGAATATTAATAAGGCCTTTACGTCTTGAAGGAGTAGTACAAAATCTTCTTTGATGTTATACGACAGGGAATAACTAAGTTATTTTTCTGAGGAGTTAATTCAGGCTTTAAGTGAGTTTTAATGTGAGCTGTTATTTATACTTAATTATTCATTAAGGGAAAGCAAGGACATTTAGGGGCTTATCACTAATCCTTTTAAGATAGCAACATAGACAATTCTTATGGGACTCACCTCCAGATCTTCCTCTGGTGCCACTGTCAAAAATAATGAGTTATTATTCAGACCCACTCTGACATTTCTTAGTCTCATTACTGCAGGAAGCCAGGCACCGGGTATATAATTATTTTATCTTTTTTTTTTAAAGATTTTATTTATTTATTTATTTGACAGACAGATATCACAAGTAGGCAGAGAGGCAGGCAGAGAGAGGGGGGAAAGCAGGCTCACCGCCGAGCAGACAGCCCGATGCGGGGCTTGATCCCAGGACCCTGAGATCATGACCTGAGCTGAAGGCAGAGGCTTAACGCACTGAGCCAACCAGGTGCCCCTAATTATTTTATCTTTTAAAGGAAGTTGACCTTCTGTGGATCAAAAACTGAATTTGCAAAATTCATTTTCTGAAGTTTCCTGTATTTGAGGTTCCCAAGCTACCCCCAAGCAATACCTCTTTTAGGGACTTTAAAGAGAGATACTCCTTGACATGTTCATCAGAAACACACCCTGATCTCTTGTTTCCATGCAGGGTTGGGGCGTCAGACACATCACATTTGTGGACAACGCCAATATCTCCTACTCCAATCCTGTGAGGCAGCCTCTCTATGAATTTGAAGATTGCCTAGCAGGCGGTAAGCCCAAGGCCCTGGCTGCAGCAGACCGACTTCAGAAAATATTCCCTGGAGTGGTACGTGATGCTGTTTGGGAACGTCAGAGCTTGTCTCCTATAGCTTCCTGCGATTAATCTCGGGGAATGGATGTTTGTCACTTACTACCCAGGACTTCATTATATGGCCAAGCTTCTGTTTCCTGTTCTCAGAGATGGGCATTAAAAAAACAAAACAAAACTCTCATATATTTAAAAATAAAATGAAGCACTTATGAAAAAAATGTTTTTGTAAGTTGCAAAGCATTATCTAAGTTAAGGAATGTGGGAATATTGGCAAAATACTGCCCCCCAAAATTTGGCATATTTTTATATACTGCCTTAGTCCAAGGGGATTCTTGGTAGCTCAGGTATAGGATATTCTTTCTTCATCACCAGAATACTTGATAATTACTTAGTACAGGCTTATGAAACTAAATTGAATGTAGTCTGTGCAGAAGGAATATCTGGCTAAATATTTAGCTTTTTACTCAAGCTGTTTTCTTATTTTTGAGTTGCATTGTTTACTTTAAAAATGCCAGATAGTAAGAGAAAAGTTCGTCGGTTCATTTGATTCAAATCTTGGCAGGGTTTTTTTTTGTTTTGTTTTTGTTTTTTAAGATCATCCACAAAAGAAAATGTGCATCTTGCATGCTAAATCAATTTATCTGACAGAAGTTAGGTTAGATGTCTCCAAAGCATCTGCTAACACTTAAAGTGGCCTAAGAGGTTCTCAGTGCTAGCTACAAAAAAAAAAACCAAAACCAAACAAACAAAAAAACCCCTTTCTCAAGGCTTTTCTGTTTAATCACTCAGTCTTAGATTTATTCATTTTAGTTCTTGCTTTAAAAGAGCAATGTTGTTTGTTTTGTCCATTTCACCAGTGATCCAGAGGAACATCATCTATTGGGTTTAATTTAAGACTATTGATGAATACCAGCTGTGTCCCCAGCTAGGTCCTTGATGCCAAAAGAAATAAGAATGTTAGAACCCCGTCATATTAGCTAGGTTTCTGCTACATTATTGCATACCACACAATCCTCACATCTCAGTGCCTTACTATTATAGGCATTTATTTCACATTCACAGGTCTGCAGATTGGCTGTGGCTTAGCTGCTGGGCTAGGCTGGACTCCAGGCTTTAAGTCAAGTTCCAATCTGGGCTATGTGTCATTGTTTTAAAATCTAGGTTAAGGGAGCAGCAGTCTTCTGGGTCATGCTCTTCTTATGGTAGAAGGTGGAAGTGTAAAAGGATTGGTAAAAACTTACACCTCTAAAAGTCTCAGCTCACCAGTGATACAGTGCAGCATTCTCCATCCCCTTGCTAAAGCCAGTCACCGAGCCAAGCCCAAGATCAGTGGAGTTGGACAATCTGCTCTGCCTTCCTAGTGGGAGGTCCTGCAAAGTCACATGGCAAAGGGTGAAGACATTTAATTCTATTAGCGAGAGGCAGTGCATAGTTGGAAAGAATAATCCAGTCTATCACTGGAAAGTGTTACAAATTCCCCTCAGGGCCCAGACAGACCTGGCTTTGAAGCTGACCTCTGCTACTAGTTGCCTGAAATTTTTCCTTGTCCAAATGGTCTGTGATCCAGTGCAGTCCTCCCTATTTATTCGTTCAGTTATTCTTTTACTTGGTCATTAAATATTTAAGGCCCTCTGTGTGCTAGAGACTGGGGAACAAAACAAAGTTCCGTCTCCCTTACATGGGGCTTCTGTAGTCCAGAGGGGGAACATGGTCAATAACTGATTTCATTAACAGATATAATTGTAGTAAGTGCATGAACTAGGAGCTCAGTTGCTGTGAGGATGTTTGCCAGGCAGCCTGACCTAAGTTAGACTCCCTTGAGGAGGCTAAGAGCTGCAGGATGAGTGGGGATCAGCTAGATGAAGGGTAACAGAGCTGTCTGTACAAATGCCTGAGTCAGGAGACAACACAGCGCTTCTGTGGCACCAAGGAAAACCAGGGAAGCTGAAGCATGGAGGTCAGGGAATACAGAGAAAGGCCCAGAATAGAAGCTAAGGCCAAAGCTAGGGCTGACTCTTGCTGGGCATTTGAGATCAAGTTCACCTTTTCTTGAAACCATTAGCCCACCAGGTCAGACATCTTCCTTGGCACTTACATTGTGCTACTCTGCTTTCCTTACTAGGTATTCAGTCCTTGAGGCCAGGAACCAGGTCTGTTATAGTTTTATCCTTCCTGCCTTATAAAAAATAATAGATAGTGTGCAAAATCCATTTAAGTCCTGGTGCAGTGCATCATAATTTCACTTACAGGTTACTCAGGCTTATGGTGCTTGCTTTGTATGTTTGGTGTGGTGTTTTTTTTCCTTGAACAAATACTTGCTCATCACCTTCCTCATACCAGGCTTCAGACATGTCTTAAGTGAACAAGACATGGAAAGAACTATTCTGCTGCAAATACCCTGTATAATCCTGGAGTTGAATTAATTGAATAGGAAAAAAACCTGACCATTAATAAGTCAAATAATTATGTGAAGTTCCCTTTTCTAAGACAAGGCAATAAAATGTAGGATTGTGGAACCACCATAGAGCTTTTAAAACCCAACTCTGGACGTCTGTTTTTAACTCTGATGAGTAACTTATTGGATCAGTTCTCCTGCCATAAACAATTATGCAGCTGGGTAAAATACATAAAATGACTCTCTCCAGTCAATGAACAATGGAAAGACAATGGTCCTAGACAAAAAGGAAATAAAGAATGTTTGTCCCAGCCTATTGCATGGAGGCACTTTCAAGCCCATGAGGAGCCCAAGGAGATGTTCCTGGGCTTGATGAGCTGAGAAAACTAACATCCAAGTTCAGAGCAGCTAAGGGAGCTGGAATGCACAGGACAGAGTATCAGACATGGGAGCTGAGCAGAGTAGTAGTCTGGGCAGCACCTTGAGTCTTTGACCAGATCAAGCTGCATGAGCTCAGGTTGTGACTTTGTGAGGCTGGGCAAAAAAGCACCACTGTTTGCTGTGAGCAGAGTGGAGATTCCAGAGCTCCCCCAAGGCTGGAAGACATTAGAATCCCACCTATCCAGAATGGAACGCCCTCATGGAGCACCCTGAGCCCTTAGATGACACTCCAGTAAGTTCAGAACTAAGCATAAAAGCTGAACTACCGAGCTTCCAGGAGAAAGTAGCACAGTGTTCTTGTGATACACAGAGGTTTCCTAGGGCCCAGGAAATACTGACCATAAGTGAAAAAATGGATAACTTGGACTTAACTTCATCAAAACCTGAAACTCCTGCTTCCCAATCAGTTCCGTTAAGAGAGTGAAAAGTCTGGCCAAAACCCAGAAAACATTCATGGTATGTCTACTTGGCAAACAGCTATTAAACAAAATCCATAAACAACATCTACCACACTCAATAATAAAAGGATAGACAAGGATTTTTTTTTAAAAGGGGCTAAAGACTTGTGCAGGCATTTATTTCATAGTGAAGACCTATAAATGGCCAATGCACACACAAAAATGCTCAACATCTGTGGTCTCAGGGAAACAGGAATTAAAACCATGAAGATATTCCCACTAAAGTGGCTCAAGTTAAAAAGACTGACAGGGATAAATGTTGTCAGGCTGGGGAGCAACCAGAGCTCTTGGTCTGCTGCTCAACCATTTTGTAAATCAGTCCGGCAGGTTTTCATGAAACTAAACCAACCTAAACCCAGAAATCCTACTCGGAGATGTTTATCTAAAGGAAATGAAAACATATATACTCTAAAACACTTACAGAAGAATTTCCATAATGGATTTATTCATAATAGCCAAAATTTAGAAATAACCCAAATAGCTGTCAGTGAGACATTAAGTAAAAAATTGAGGTATTTTCATACAGCAAAAAGGAACACACTCTTGATACTTTACTAATATGGATGGACCTCAAAAGCATTGTGCTGGGCAAAAGAAGCCAAACACCAACAGGTATAGACTGTGGGATACCATATATATGAGGTTCTAGAATAGGCAAAACTAATCCAGGGTTTTAAAAAGTGGTTGCAACAGCAGTTGTCCCAGTGGGGGTGGGAGTGGTGCGAATTGACTGGGAAGGGGCACACAAGCACATTCAAGGGTGATGGAAGTGTCCTATGTCTTGGTAGGTGTATGCAGTGGTTAATATGCAGTTTATTGAAACACACCCAACTGTACACTTGAAATCTGTGTGTTATACTTTCTGTGAACTTTCACCCTGGCTATACATTTGAATCATCTGGAGAGTTTTAGAAAATATTGATGGTAGGGTCCACTCTCAGAAATTCCGATTTAAATAGTCTGGGGAAAAGCCTAGGCATTAGGAATTTTAAAACCTCTCTAGGTGGTTCTGATGTGCAGCCAAGGTTGAAAACTGCCGTGTTGAAACTTGCTGAATTCTAGCCTTAGGTATGTGAATCTAAATGGTGGGCTGAGAGCCAGTCCCGAGTAGGCTTACTGGCTGAAGTTTTAGCAAGCAGAGAATCATGTAGGTCAGTGAAGTGGGTATGGATCTTTATTCTTGAAAAGATCTGAATTGGTGTTGAGTAGTTATGCTTTAATCTTGGTGTCATTAATATACCTAAATAATACCTTTTTTGGATCAAGCTACCACCGATGAAAATACTTTGCCAATTGTAATAAGACAATAAGGTAATAACATTACTGTAGTTTCTGCTATTGTTTGCTATAGTATTTGGTACCTGGTAGATGCATAATGCTTAATGAGTGAATTAATTAATGAGGTCCAGATAGCTGCCTCTGTAGTGTTCTTGTTGTTAAAATGGACTTGTTTTGAACCCTCTTTCTGAAGTCCTTTCTGTCTGGCATCTTTTCCTATTTTGCCTACAACTTTTTTTCGTTCTTTTAAATATCATTGCTTTTGCTAGTATTGTCTCTTCCTTGAATCCCGGAGATTAGGTTTAAAGTTCAAGGTAAGAAGAACATAGCTACAATCCACAAAAAAAAAAGATTTTTCCTTTGTAAAAGGACCTACTTATTCTGTCCTCCCTCCCCACCTCAGCTGTTCTTCTGGTAGGTGACAGGTTTTGGGAAATGAACGAAAAAGCTAATGATTTCACACTCCTCCCTGTAGCCAGCCCTATGCAGGGAGTTAAGGGTGCAGTTTGTGATTCTAGAACACTTCCTTTTCTGTGAACAGTTAATGTCCCTGGCTTCATTGACACCCATACGTTACTCACTGTTAATCTGCCAAGACACCGTGGGGCCTTCAGGGGACCAGTGGTAAATTACAGAGCTGTTCTAAAGTCCCTATGAAAACTCCTGAGTCCCCACACTTGAAGAGAATCCGGGCCACCTGACAACTTCTTTGGACAAGGAATGAAGTTTCATTTGAGTACCACACTCTGCTATAGCTCATGCCCCTTCTGTCCCCTCCAAAAAAAGATCTATACGCTCCTAAGTAGATTTTCTTGTCGTAGGTTAGAGAGTTTTTTTGGTTTAGAGAGCTTTTTTAAAGTGCATATACCTCTAAGATTAAAGCATAACTATCAGTCATTCTAATCTTATGTGAGTTTATTAAATCAAATGTTTTTTGTTATAATATCCTACTTGGAGATGTTAAACACTAAGGAAATGGTGGAGGGGGCAGTTTGGGAACCAGTAGGGAGAGACAACTGGACAGAGGACCTGAGCAGGCACAGGGCATTTTGATAGAGGTTCCTGGCCTCAGATTATAGGAAAAACCAAAGTTACGGTTTTCTTCAGTGTCCTCCTTGCCTCAAAGGGGAAGTACTTACCTCCTTCTTTGGAACTAGGATCTGTATGTCTCTGTTTGCTGCTTTATCCAGGCTCAGGGACCCTGAGATGACAGGACAAGATAATCTAGAATGTAGAGGTAAAGAAGGTACAGGGCACAGGTAGCAAAAGGGACAAGCGGCAAAATCATGGACAGAGAAATTTCTGGTTGCAAGAGACCACACATGCATGCTTGTAGCTATGGGGAGAAATGGGCTCTAAGATATCACCTATATGTTTGCTTCAGACATCTGTATATCTGGGTGTTTCCCCAGAATGCCAGAGGGTTCAACATGAGCATCCCGATGCCTGGACACCCAGTGAACTTTTCCAGCGTCACCCTGGAGCAAGCCCGCAGGGATGTGGAACAACTGGAGCAGCTCATTGAAAGCCATGATGTCGTTTTCCTGTTGATGGACACCAGAGAGAGCCGGTGGCTTCCTGCCGTCATTGCCGCGAGCAAAAGAAAGGTAGATTGTGTGGATCTTGGGGCTTTTGTGTCTGGTTGTGACTTGATGTGCCATTACCCTGGAGGGAGATCTGCCTTCCCTCCAGAAGAGAGATGTGCTGGCAAATGACCTAGTGACATGGTGCCAAAAGGCTTCCGCTGGCGGACGGTGTTTTTGCCTCATACAACACCATCTAGTATAATAGGTATCTTCTATTTAATTTTCACAGCAACCCTTTGAGGTCTTCTAGAGGGGATATTCTACTTACATTAAAACGTAAGCTCCAAAAGGACAAGGACTGTATCATTTATTACTTTTTGGTCAGTGACAGCTTCAAGGGCCAACAGTATTGAATGGTTAAATAAATCACAGTACATAAATGTGATGGAATACTATGCTACTATGCACAATTATGTTCTCAAAAACTTAACATGGAAAATATCACATTATATTAAAAAAGCAAGATATGATATTGTATACATTTAATAAGAACTGTTTATATCTGTAAATATACAAACATTTACTTCTGTTTAGCAAGAGGGTGGGGAGGACGCAAGAAGAAGGTAGAAGGAGGGGGGAAGGAAAGAGAAAGCGTGAAAACAACAGGAAGAAATACCCAAAACTATTAGTAGTAAGTGTTTGAGCCATGAGATTGTGAGTGATTTTTTTTTTCTGGTGAACTTTTTATTATCCAACTTCCCATATAACCAGAAATTTAGGAGAATAAGTTAAATTACAACTAAGAGAAATTCTAATATAAATGAGAAAAAAAGTGGTCCTTAAAAAATCTCTGTGAAGGTTGAATTGTAGTGTGTCAGTTATATCTCAGTGAAGCTATTATTAAAAAAAAAAAAAAAAAAAAAAAGTCTGTTAGCGCCCCTGGGTGGCTCAGTCAGTTAAGCCTTCAGCCCAGGTCATGATTCCCAGTCTCCGGGGATCAGGCCCCATGGCCAGCTCCCTGCTCAGGGAGGAACCTGCTTCTCTCTCTCTCTCTGCCCTCTCTCCCCAACTCATGTATTCTCTCTCAGTCACTCTCTCTCACTCTGCTCTCTCTCTCTCTCTCTCTCAAATAAAATCTTTAAAAAAAAAAAATGTGTGTAGGCATGACAGATGATAGCACAATGGTGGAAAGAATGAGACTGAGAATTATCAAGATTTGGTTTTAAACATTTACCTGGTAAGTGACCTTGGGCAAGTTATAGAAGTAACTGCTCTGACTTTCATTATCCTCATCTGTAAATAGGAAATATAAAACTACAAATATCTCATCTGGGACTTCTAAATGAAACCAAAGTAGATAATTAATGATAATCACTGGTCAAGTAAATCCTCAGTATTGGGTAGCTTTTACTAACATTGGCTTCTAGACTCTAAGTACATTCAAATGCAGTTATTTATAAAATAAATTTAAAAAATTTTAAAAGTTGACCAAATATGAAATTAGCCATGGCTTAAAATGTAAGTGTCTCTTAACTCTAGACTTTTATTCCTTGAAATCCACAGCTGGTCATCAATGCTGCCTTGGGATTTGACACATTTGTTGTCATGAGACATGGCTTGAAGAAACCTAAGCAGCAGGGAGCTGGGGACTTGTGTTCTGGTCACCTTGTGGCACCTGCTGACCTCCTGGGCTCATCACTTTTTGCCAACATTCCTGGCTACAAACTTGGCTGCTATTTCTGCAATGATGTGGTGGCTCCAGGAGATGTAAGTAGATTTCTTTTTGCTTCCAGGTATTTCCTACAACTGTCTTGCCCCCTGGGGCAAAGAGACCCAGCTCTTTCTTTTGTGACTATTTAAATATTGTCTTTAAACAAATAGAAGAATTCTCTAATTTGGGAGTGACATTATTTCCCCACTAGCCTTGATTGGTGTCATAAACTGTGCACAGCTCTTCTTGTTCACCAGCTTAAACGCAGTGACCAACCATTTTTGTGGAAAGCTCAGCAGGGAAACTGCAGGATAGATTGGTCCGTGGCAGTACTCAGCACTGTTTCCTGTGCTTGTATCACTGAAGACAGCATCAAGTGAGGGGTTTGAAGACCCGGATTCCAGTCCAGGCTTGGACACTGCCTGTGGGGTGATTCCAAATAACATTCATAGACTGCCCGTGCGTCTGCAGAATGGGGCCGAGTCCCATAAGATTGTCAGATTTAGCAAGTGAAAATACAGGATTCCCAGTTAACTTCGAATTTCTTTTTTTTTTTTTTAAGATTTTTTATGTATTTATTTGACAGACATAGATGACAAGTAGGCAGAGAGGCAGGCAGAGAGAGAGGAGGAAGCAGGCTACCTGATCAGCAGAGAGCCCAATGTGGGGCTCAATCCCAGGACCCTGGGATCATGACCTGAGCTGAAGGTAGAGGCTTTAACCCACTGAGCCACCCAGGTGCCCCTTAAATTTGAATTTCAAGTGAATAATATTTTAGTATGAATTTGTCCCATGCAATATTCAAGACCTGCTCGTATTAAAATAATATTCGTTGTCTATCTCAAATTCAGATTTATCTGGGTGTCTCTTATTTTACCAGTAGGAGAGGGGAGAATACTTTAACTTGACTGCTCATAGTGCAAGGTGGGTCAGATGTGAAAGTGCTCTGAACAGCAGGCAGTACACTGTTCAAATGTAAGATTCTGTGGCGTTAAAGCCACCACACAAAGCACAGTCTGTAGGAATGGTCTTTTATCAGAACAGATAATCACTTCTGGTGAAACAAAGCATAGGTGTTTCTTTATGCTTCCCTTCATTTTCCCCTTCTTTAAAAACACGTTCCTTAATAACTCCTACCTCTTTTGGATGGCTGGATTTATGGCCTCCCTGTATAAAGAAAAAAAGATAAATATTCTCCGTGTGAAGAAGGATGACTTGATGATCTTCATCAGTGGTGTTATAATATACAGCTCGTCCTCTTATTTCATCATTACCAACAAGTAGGATTAAGAGTCAGTTGCAGCAAAGTTGTATCTGTTCATAAGGTGAAAATTTCAGAGTCAAAATCATCCCTAACAACCTCTTAACTTGCCTAAAGTTGGAAGTTAGAATTTCTTTTGTTGCACCAATGAGGGCTTGTGTTTGGAGCCATGTTGTAGCAAAAATACTTGTATTTCAGCCCAAAGATCACACTCAGTGTGACATGATGTCCACACTGTGAGAAGCACACAGGAGCTGAGGACTGCAGAATTACCCCACATCACAGGCACTCTGAGGCATTGGCTCCGTTAGAATGGCAGGGCAGAATCATTTGCCTCTCTCTGTGTCCCTCAATTACCAAGCACAGTGGGGTTGATTTGAATCTGTTAAAAGAGCACATGACACAACTCCATATATGGGGAAGCTAGGTCCCAATCTTTGATTGTTCATTACTGTTATTCCCTTTTAGCAAATTACCTCATTTCGTTACCTAAGTTGTATACTTTGTTTTTCTTGGTACTTCCAAGAAGTGATCTTATTTGAGGCTGAATGTTCTTTGCCCACAGTGAGCGAACGTCTGGTTATCTTATGTAGCTTTAACGTGGAGGCAGACGATAGTAAGCACAATTATATAGTGCTTACCTTGTGCTAGGCACTGTTCTAATCACTCTGCTTCAGACAGCACAGTTGAGTGGACTGAAACTTTGAGCACACATCAATGATTGTTCCTCTAGTCAACCAGAGACCGGACCTTGGACCAGCAGTGCACTGTGAGCCGCCCAGGACTGGCCATGATTGCAGGAGCCCTGGCCGTGGAATTGATGGTTTCTGTTTTGCAGCATCCAGAAGGGTGAGTTTACTCTTTAGAGATGGTCATTTAAACAAAGACAGCTTGGCCTTTTCTCAGCCTGACTCTTCTGAGAATTTTTTTCTTCAAAAATACAAGGTTGAAAAACCCAATCTGATTCTTTGGCCTGGGGGAGCTTATCATGTGATCTTCGGGGCTCTGTCTCTGCATCCTTCTGGAACTGAACTCTCCTAGAGTTATTTGGTAACTGACGAAAAGGAAAAATAAACATTTTGGTGGAGGCCTTAGGGACCTTCATGCTTTTATTCTGTTAGTAGGTTTTGATCTCCTTAGGCCTGAACATTTGCAAGGCAATACATGAATCACATGTGATAGAAATTGCATTGGGCTTTATGTAACATCCTCAGTGACTTGACCAAATGGGAGTTTATTTTGCTTATGCAGCAAGAAGCCTAGAGGCAGGCAATCCAGAGTTGGTACAAAAGCTTTGTTAGGCCATCAGGGACTCAAGTTCCTTCTTACCATTCTACCAGATACTGTCAGCTTTTCTTCCTTATGCTTGCCACCTCTACCTCCAGTACTTCTTCTGTGTTAAAGTTTAGAACACCTGTCAGCTTAGTTGAGGCTGCTCCCTTTTAAAGAGCTTTCTTGGAAGACTCACCCATTGATTCTAACTCCTATATCATGTGGCCACACTTTGTTGCAAGGGAGACTGACAAATATGGTTGTTTTATCTGGGCACATTGCCTCCCTGAACAAAGTTGTGATCAGATAGATGTGGAGAATGGATGTTGGGTTGGCAAACAGAAGTGAATGCTCACTCATTTTTTTTTTTTTGAATTATGTATATATTTTAAAACCCCAGAAGAGATTATTATGTAGTGGTATTCATTATGTTTGCCTGGCATTTTCCTTTTTTGTTACTTTTCATTTCCTTTTGTATCTTGGAGCTTCCAGCCAAGGCTATTATCCTTCTGCCAGAAGAATGCCCTTTATTATTTCCTTTAGGAATACTAGTGATAATACTAGTGATAGGAAAACTGAAGATACTTCAGTTTTTGTTTGTCTGAAAATAACTTTGTCTTCATATTTGAAAGATATTTTTGCTGGGTATAGAATTGAAGATAATGGGGGTAATTTTCTTTTAGCACATTGAGAGTATAGTCCTATTATCTGTAGGTGTTTTTATTGTTGTTGAGGACTTGGGTGTTTAACTTACTGCTGCTCCTCTGATACAGTTTGTTTTTCTTCCTCTTTCCCTGCCCTTAGTTACTTTTAAGGCCTTCTCATTGTCTTTGATTGTGAGAAGTTGGACTGTGATATACCTAGTTATGTATTTTTCCTGGTTGTGTTCTCTAGTGCTTCTTGAACCCATGGCTTGATGCCTTTCCTCTCTTGTGTAAAATGCTCAGCCATTATCTCTTAAAATATGGCTTCTGCTCCTTTCTGTCTTCTTTCCTTTTGAGTTTCTAATTGCATGTCAGAATCAACCTATGCCCTTTTCTGTATTTTCCAGTATTTTGTCTTTCTTTGCTTCAGTCTGCCAATTTGTGGTTATCTTCCAGTTTGCTAATTCTTTCTTCTTCTAAGTCTAATATGTGTTAAACCATTCACTGAGTTTTAAATTATTTTATGTTCAGTTATAAAAGTTCCATTTGATCTTATTTTATACATTTCCTAATCTCTGCTGAAATTGTGATTTTGCTCTTTTTCATTCCTTGAAAACATTTAATTATGTTTTTCCTTTTAATTCTATAATGTATCTCCGTTATCTGGATCTCCTGTAATTCTGTTCCTCTTGCCTATTGGTTTTGTTTTTTGTTTATTTGTTTTTTGACCTTGACCTTGGCTTTTGGTTATGTATTACCTCCTCTAGTACCTGGTATTTTTTTCTTTTTTTTAGACAAATCATTTTGATTATGGAAAATTCAGACATATATGAAAGAAAAAGTATATATAAAATAATAAACCCCATTGTATAGACCCCCCAGCTTCAATGGTTACCAACATATGGTCTATCATCATTTATCTATACTATTATCCCCATTTTTTCTCTTCCCACTGGCTTATTTTAAAGCAAATCCAAGACGTAGCAATTCATTCATAAAAATGCATCTTTTTAGTAAAGATACTTTACATATAAAAATAAAAGTAATTCCTTCATATCACTTCACATCCAGTTAGTTTTTCAGTTTCCCCAGTTTCTCAAATCCGCTTGGTTATTTATTTTTTTTTGCTTGATTATTTTTCACTATTAGACATTATATATGAAAAATTGCCCAGATGATGTAATTTCCATTTCCCTCTGGAAAACTGCAAGACCAAATACATTAGTAGTCCTGGAATACTTAAGTCTAATTAGGGCTTGTCTATTTCTGGTTCACTCTTATTCCTATAATGTAACCCCCATTGTTCCCAATCCAACACCTGGATTATTTTTCATGATTCTTCCTTATTGGCAGACCTCAAACTCTAGTTTTTCCTTCCAGTCCATTTGTCTGTCCATATAACTCTTCAGCTTCTGGATCCTATAGCCACTGCTTTTGGAAGTTTGTAATCACCTTATGACAGAAAGTTGCCCTTAAGAATGCTGTGTTGAGCTCTATGGGCTTCTCTCCTCTCACAGATCTTGGCTCTGCATTTCTTCCCTACTTTGGTAGCTGTCATGCTTTCAAACAAAAGTTTTAATATGGAATCTAGCTTTCTGTTTGTTTTCAGTGGAGGGTTGGTCATGACTACCTAGCCTACCAATGCCATACCACTTTTTAAAAATATATTTTTTAATTTATTAAGCACTCGTAGTGTACTAGCTTGCATGTGAGAGTAGAGAAGTGAGTGACCTGATATGTTTTGTTTCAACTGGACCTTGGCTTTATGGTACTCTATGTGATTACTATACTGTATATGTGTTACATTAAAGATACAAAGCTTAGCATGATTGTGATCTGGACACCCTATCTGCTCCAAGAAAGAAGCTCTTACGTAATGACCTATAAAAAATATAATTAATTCATCTTGTAATAAATAGAAGTGAGGTAAAATTAAATTAATTTCAAGAATAGAGCCAGCAATTTTAAGAAAGAAAGAAGGAAAGAAGAGATGAGAAAGGGATGGAGGAAAGAAAAGGAAAGGAAACAAAGAAAAAAGTAAAAGAAAAATGATTAAACAGTTTAAGATTCTCTCTGTACCTGCTCAAGGGTCTGCCGCCAGGTGTCAGCTAGCAGAATGAAGTCAAATGGATTTTTACACCCAATTATCTGACAAATACACTATAATTTATTTTGTTTGTCAGATGCTTATTATATAGTGCTTACCTTGTGCTAGGCACCATTCTAATCACTCTGCAAGAGTAACTCTTAATCCTCATAGCCAATCTATCAGGAAAGAACTATTACCTGTCCCATTTTTGAGGGGGAAATTGAGTCATAGAGAGGATAAGTTGTGGGAATTCACAAAGCTGGTTAGTGGTATATTTGGGCTTTCACCCAAGACAGTGTTGCTCCAAACTCTTTTTAATCATCCTGCTATGCTGTTTGTAACACATAAAGGAGAGAATTGAAGTGTTGAAAGAGTTGTTTTTCTAATTCTCAGAAATTAACATTGAATATTCTCTTTATTTTATGACTCAAGAGTTTTTCTGCAGGATTGAAAAGATGACCTCTATACAATATTGGTAGAATACATAGTTAGTCTAGGTGTAACAGAGTTAAATGAAAATAAGCATCTTTCTTCTTCTTCTTCTTCTTCTTCTTCTTCTTCTTCTTCTTCTCCTTCTCCTTCTTCTTCTTCTTCTGTCTTCCTCTCATCTTGTCATCCCCCGGGCTACCCCTGCCTTCTAAGTGTCATGTGGCCTCCTGACAGGGTGTATCTGGGATAAATTCTTGGAGAGCCGATTCTGCCATTCCTTGACACTGTCCCCTCAGTCTGCAGTGTTCGCCCTGGTTGTAGGCTGAAACCAGGTCCTGTGTCACATGTCTTCTGTGCCATAAGGAGACATCACACTTGTCATTTGGGAAGAGTGCATCCGTTCTCCTGCCCAATTAATTCCTCACTGTTCTATCTCCTTCCTCCATTTTTGTAGCATTCATATCACCTCAAGAAGTTAAGGTTGGAAAGTTTTCCATTTCAAAATTTCAGTACAAAAATGTGCCCATGCTTTTTTACAAGACTATCTTAGAGTAAGGGAGTTAACAATCTGCTTAGCATGTGCCAAACATTGCACTTGGCAGTTTGTCTAACTTGTTCCTAATTTATGCCTCATAATGGTCTTATTCCTGTTTTATAGTTAATGGACCGAGAGCACAGAGAAGTTAAGCAACTTTCTTGTGGTCATAAGCTCTGGCCTTTCTGACTTCAAAATTCAGGCATTTTTTGTGTGTGTGCTCTTCTTCCTCTTTCCCTCTCATGGAAATTAGGTTTTTGCTAGTTCGTGCTTTCTCACAAGGGGCATTTTTGGTTATCCTTATAAATCTCACATGGCCCCGCTCCAGATCATCCTCATGGGTCTTAAACCTAAACTTTTATTAGACAAGTACCTGTAATTTTTTCTTTTTTTCAGGGGCTACGCCATTGCCAGCAGCAGTGATGACCGCATGAATGAGCCGCCAACCTCTCTCGGGCTTGTGCCTCACCAGGTTAGTGATTTGGAAGTGAAGTCATAATTCTGCACCTGGTTCCAGTGGTGCAGGGGGAACGCATGTGGGGTCACCTCATCATACCATCATCAGCTCAGCCCACCTTCCTTTTCACCCTCCTTCTCCTCCAGCTGCTTTGAGTTTCGGTGGGAATGCTGTAAGACTACCTGGCAAGTATCCCATTTTGCAGGGATGGTGATGAGGAGAAATTGTAAATAAGTAGCATCACCCAGAGTCGTGGATGCATTTAGCATGTTGACTGGAGGTCTCGTAGTGAAGAAGCAGCAGTAAGAACATACTCTGGAACTGGCCAGACGACAGTTTAAATCCCAGCCCTTCAGTTAATTAAGATGGCCTTCCTTGGCCAAATCCCTAAACTTGTCTGAGCCCTTGTTTGCCTGTCTATAAAATGGAGACAGTAATACTGCCCTCGTGTGGTGGTTGCAGAGATCAGAAATGATGGGTGCAGAGTGCTTGGCAGTGGTGCCTGGAGTGTCATAGGCCCTTGGTGAAGGATGCTGGCTATTTTTGTTGCTGTTCTTTATTATTCAGTCCCTAGCCACATAAAAAGCCTTATGGGCATGCATGGGAAAACCATTAGAAGTGTCAAAAAATAGGGCTTCTTTTCAAAAAAAGAATCTGAAGTATGAAGAAGATCCATCCCATAGAGACAGAAAAAAAAGTGATGGAATGAACATTTCAAATTCATGTTGCCTTGTCACTAGTTTTTGTTACTGTGTTTTTGGAGGAATGAAGACGTTTTCCAGTCTTACCTTCTGGAAGCCATTTATCCAAGTGCCATCTGTGTATTTCTGTGTATAAGAGGAAGGCTGTCTCCAAACAGAAAGTGGTGACAGTGCCCACCAGTCCCATCTCAGGGTTCTGAGAACAGGCTCACAGCTGAAGGCAAGAGCAGGGTGGCCCCTCAGCCCACATTGGTCTCCCCATGCCTTCCCACCTCCTGCTTCCCGTCATCTAGGACAGCCCTATCATTTTCCAGTTGGCGGTTTGAGTCAGAAGAAGGAAAATTATTCACCCACAGTCATAGAGAGGTAGTGGATGAGCCAAAACATGAACCTAAATTTGGCACACCTACTGGTGCTCTTCGTGAGGCATTGTGAGTGAAATTTTCCCAGCCTGCCCGTGGGGAGTGTTACCTTCTGCTCGACACTCCAGCCCTCTTGCACTAAGTCGCCTGTCAGACACCGTGTGTTAGGTCACTTACCCTCTCAGAGCCCCTTTCCATATCAGTAAAAGCAGGTGCCTTACCTGGTGTCCAAGATTATATCTATGATGAGGCTTTGCAGACCATATAACACAGTGCAAATGTGGCTTTTCCAGTCTGTCTCACACAGACTGTGTGCCACTATGTTGCATTTATTTGGCATGAATATGTTTATCTTTCTACAGAAACATTTCAGGCAGGACCCAACAGACACTGTAATAACCTTCCATCATAAGGAAGCTGTCTTCTAGAGCCGACCTCTGCTGTTTATACTCGAATCTCATTCAAATCCCTACCCACTTCCCCTCTTCACATGTCTCTGTCCCTCTTTTCTGACCTTGAGATGTGCCCTCATCACCCTTACAAATTTCATACTGAGAAGAGCCTTAATTAAATTTTCAGTCATGCCCCTGCACTTCTCTCCTTCTTTAAGTCCTTTATGTTAAATCACCACAGCTGTAGTTTTCTTAGTGCCAAGGCCAGAGGGCAAAACAGTCTCTTTATAGAAGGGTCCAGTGTCAAAATGCATGTGCCCATGTTTTTAAAGTACTATGGCAACTAATCCCTCTCAGTGTCATTTACCCCCATTGAGCCTCATAATTGTTTGTCATTCACCAACTCTTCTAGTTCTTTCTCCTCGTTTTCAAATGTCTGAAGGATTATTTTGGTTGTTGGCCATCTCTTCATTTGGTCTTTTCAAAGGCTGAAGAATAACCCAGCCATATATGGGAAAAGCCCTGCGCTTGTGTGTGATTAGTTGCTTACATTATTTCAAGTTTCAAGCCTTTATTTTTAGCTACTATCTAAAAAAGACAGTGGAGAAAGAACTTTAAAATTAATCAGGGTTGTGTGGTTCCTATTTATAGGCTTTAAATTTCTTCTTCTTTTTCTCCTTTTTTTTCTTAAGTGGAGTGAGTCCATTTATGCAACTCTGTTTTGATTAGGGGAACATCGTTTCCACAAAAACACTGGGCTGTGTTGCAATGCCCTGCTGCAGACTCAGCATGTCCCTCCTCCTCTTCCTGGCTCTCCAGATTTCCTCTTGGAGAAGAACTTGGTAAACCCCTTTGTGTGCCTTGCATACAAAGAACGACCCCATGAGTTCCAGGGGCTTTTTTTTTCTGTCCCCCAAGGAGAGTGTGTGTTAATTGGCCCCTGTGGAATAAGCTGTAGTAGAAAAGTGATAGCCCTTGGATAGAAATGGCAAGGCCCCCCACCAGCAGCGCATTGTGTAATCTGGAGAAAGTTGCTTAACTTAGCCTATGGGCTCTGTGTCTCTTGCTTTCCTTGTCAGACCAGGGAGGCCTGAGGATGACTTAGTTGATCTGCCTGTGGGACTATAGGCAGATTTTGACCCATTCAGAGATTGACCAAGTGCAGGAAAGGGCTTGATTAGGCCCTGATATGCATAATAGCCTGAAAATAACCTGACTGATTTTGAAAACAGTGAAAACACCATTTGAAGATAAGAAACTAGGCTTATGGGTTTATTCTTTTTTAAAAGTGACCCAGTGTACATGGATGGGATTCTGCAAGCAGCCAGCAATAAGCATAATCCTCTTTCTGTGTGTATAAAGCTCATCAACTCCTACAAATTGTTAAGTATACAACCTGAGTTATCACAAAGTAAACATGACTCATGTACCCAGCACACAGATTAAAATAAAATGTTCTCAAGCATCTCTGAAGCCCCTGTCATGCTTCTTCCATTTATTGTCACATCCTTCCTACACAGAGGCAAGCATCGCTTGACTCTGGACACTGTGGGAGACTTTTGTCTAATTTCGAACTTTCTGTAAATGAAATCATATAGTATAGTATAGTATACTATACTGCCATACTTTGGAGTTTGGCTTCTTTTGTAGAGAGAACTTTTTCATTGCAGATATTAGCATAGTATTGTTCCTTCTCTTTCCATCTAATGGGATCCTTTAAAAAAAAAAAAAAAATTGGCTTTTCTTGGCTTCTGAAGTGGTGGCTGAGTTCCATGAGGTCAGACCGTTTTTCTGGTTCTTTGGTGCAAGGCACAGCTCAAGAGTTAGAAAATGTACAGGTCACTCCTTGTATCTCTAGGAAGTTGGTTTGCAGGTTCACGAGAGATCCTGAATGTGATGGAAATTGGCAGCCTGTGGAGCTGCTGATCATTTGACTGGACCTCCCTCAGAATATGAAAAACAAGGTGGCAATACAACAGTCCTCCAAACACCACGGTCATTAATATAGCAGTCAGCTTTTATCCCACTTGTGGATCAGGCAGTTCACATTTTTTGTCTTTGGGTGAATGTACTCTTGGCTCTCAAGTACTGATGAATAAACACCCTGAATGTGTATGCCATTCCTAGGGGTTTGGACTTGCCAACCCCATGGTTCTCTTGGGCTCTTGAATTCTTTATTTTAATTACTTTCAGAAAAGCAGAACAAAGGCGGAACTAGGGCAGGACCCTGAGAGAGACCTGGCCTGGGAAACCTCTGAGACAAGTCTGAGATAGAGCTTGGGTCCCTAGCCATGCCTTGGGTTGCTAGTTATCTGGCCTGTCTGCACAGGCTATGCCCCCACAAATCCTCAGGCCTTTTTTAATAAGCTCTCTTTACTTTGCTCAGAAATGCTTATCACAGTGGCCTCTAGGGGTATGGATGGACTGACTGCTGAGGAAGGAGATTAAGAAGAAAAGCAATAAAAGCCCATTTCCTGAGCTGTAGCCCAAGAAAGGGAGTCTCCTTCCCCTCTGGTTCTATACCCTTCCAATTAATGATAACAGGAATGGCAGGAAAGACAAATAGTCTAAATGTCTCCTGTTTCTCCATATCAGATGTTCTAGTTTGTGACCTATCCATCCTCCCAGACCCCCTTTCGTTCAACCATCCCTTCAGCAGGTGATTGCCAAACACTGTGCCAAGCACCATGATGTTTCCGAGAAGTTCAGTAACTGACACAAGGGCACCCAGTATTTATTTCCATTTGGTTTTGGAATCATCTAACTTGGTGGATATACCCCCAAGCCATTTGGATGTGGTGGAACTTCATTCCAGAGGGAGGCCCTGAATAAAAGGAGGAATCTGGGTATAAAATCTGACAATATCTGTGCTTTCTGTGTGGGGCCCTAGAAGAGAGAGGGTGATAGGCCTTCCTTGGTGCATGACAGAGGGGATGAATTATACATAGTGCAGAGTTCAAATGTGTCTTAGAGAGCATCTCTTGTCCCAGAAGAATTGGGCATAAGTTTATCCATCCAAGGATGTTATTCGTGCCTCCTGAGTTTTGCTCACCTGATGAGTCCATCCTGTTTGAGAGGTCCCATGTGGGAGGCACATGGGACCAGTTAGATCATATAGATCCAATTAGAATCCTGGGTTTTCTTCTTAATTACATTTTAATCCATTCATTCTTTAGCTCCTTTTACAAAATATTTGAAACAGCTCTTGTCACTTGCTAGTGTGTGGCCTTGGGCAGGTTACCAGTTGTCTCTGAGTTTCATGTTTCATGCCAGTAAAATGGGGATAATTATATAATAAACTCCTGGAATTAATATACAGTTTATATCACATTTACTAAGCACTAGCACAGTTTTGGGCACATAAGGGATACTAGTAAATGTTGGTTTTATCTTTCTCTTTCACTTTTAATTAAAATGGTTAAATGGAACTTCTATGCTCTTCTAAATAGGGAGTTACAAAGAATCTCCATAAAACTCTAGAAGCCTTCCAATGAGTACATTGGGAAGGTTTGAAAAGATTAGCCAGCACCATTCTGCAGGATTTTTCTAAGAACGTTGCT